CGGCATAGATCTAAAGTACGTCTAGGGAATATCTTAGATGAATCTGATGATGCTTAAAATTTTGGCATTTCACACATAGGAAGTTTATTGAATTTGGCATTGGCATTGAGTTTCACTTTTTCTTCTTCAGGGATGCATGAACTCTTGGCGCCATTGGTATATGTTCTCCACGTTGACATTGAACGACTCTCTCAAGTGAGAGAGCTTTATGAAGAGCACTTCACTGACAAGTTTGATGAGTTATCATTTCAAGACAATGATCTTACATATAATTTTGATTTCAAAAAATTCTCCGACACTCTAGAGAATGGAAGTTCCCAAGGAAATGCATCCAAGGTGAGGAGTATCAGTGAGCTTGATCCCGAGATGCAGAAGATTATATTGTTAAGTGATGCCTATGGGGCTGAAGGTGAACTGGGCATTGTATTATCTGAAAAATTTATGGAACATGATGCATACTGCATGTTTGATGCATTGATGAGTGGGGTCAATGGGTCTGTAGCCATGGCAGACTTCTTCGCGCACTCACCTGCATGTGGGTCTAATGCTGGCCTGCCTCCTGTCATTGAGGCTTCCGCCGCACTGTACCATCTGCTATCTGCCGTTGATTCATCTTTACACAGTCACCTCGTTGAGCTGGGGGTTGAGCCACAATACTTTGCACTTCGTTGGCTGCGTGTTTTATTTGGTCGTGAGTTTGCACTCCAAGACCTTTTGGCAATCTGGGATGAGATTTTTGCACAAGACAATAGTAAAATGGACATAACTGCGGAAGATGATGAAGGATCTAGCTTCAGAATTCTCGGTTCTTCACGAGGAGTGTTTATTGCTAGTATTGCTGTTTCTATGATACTTCGCTTGAGATCTTCCCTGCTTGCTGCTGAGAATGCCACTTCCTGTCTTCAGAAATTGCTGAATTTCCCTCAGAATGTCAATCTAATGAAACTAATAGAGAAGGCGAGGTCATTGCAGGTCCTCGCTCTGGAAGTTAATACTTCTACCGCTTCTTCATCCAGTGGGGCTTTTGTCCAAAGTAAGCGAATGGTAGGTAGAGGCCATAGCCTGTCATCCGACTCTATATCTCCTAGAACTCCATTAAATTTGGTACCTGATAGCTACTGGGAAGAGATGTGGAGGAATCTGCATAAAGAAGAAGAACTTAAACGGGGTAGTTTACAGAAACAAGTTTCGACCAGGAAAAAGGGATGGTCTGAGAAAGTAAAATTGAGTCTTTCCAGAACGGAGTCTGATCCATCTCCAGTTAAGGCTGAGAACATCGAAAAGGTTACTAGGACATCCGTAAGGCGTAGTTTGTTGGACGATTTGTCTCGGCAGCTTGGCTCTGAAGGTGCTGAGGAAAGGAGCAGCCATCAAAATGGAGGTCAGAAGGATCATCTCTCTGTTAAAGATAATTTGGCTAGATCAGAAGTCCATAATGAGTTTAGTTGTGCCAATGAGGAGAGACGTTTAAGTGCGAATTGCGGGAGCGAAGAGAATTCCTCAATATTCTCTGACCCAGTTAGTCCTCTTAGTGGTCCTATTGACCATGAGAATGACTCTGAGAAAAGCAGTGTTGTCTCGAACTTATCCCTCGATGAACGTGATGATCAACTGCAAAGTACAGGCTGTACGGCAGAGGATTCGCCTCTTCCTGTCTCTGATGTTCCTGACAACACCTCTCTAAAATCTGAACCAAGTGACGATCCAGCAGGAAAAGCTGCAATAGGCGTTAAGGAACGGAGGCCTCTCTCCGGTAAATTCCAATGGCTTTGGAAGTTCGGACGGAATGCTAGTGCTGAGGAGACATCTGATAAAGAAGGATGTCCTGAGGCTTCAAAATCTACTGATGTTGAAACCATATATCACGATGCTGCAGAATATTCTGTAAATGATCATAGCATTTCTTCTGGTGGCGGTAAAGGGGATTCCATCGATGGGAATATGATTGGTACGTTGAGGAATCTGGGACAGTCTATGATTGAACATATTCAGGTATCTTTTCTTCTCGTTGATCTACGCCTCTGTGTAAATGTAGCAAATCCAACGAAAGAAAAAGGTATAGCATTCATAGAAAAGACAAATTTGTGGAGCGGACATCTCACTTATTAGACGTATGATTTGCAAGTTATATTTGTTTGTCATGCCAAATGAATTAAATATGGTTTAGTGAAGCTGTTGCCTTTCTAGCCTATGCTCGTATGCTGCTTCTAAGTACTTTAGTTTTAGAGCATGCTTGAAGGTGAGAGAAAGATGGGACGAATTTCATGAGGGTGAAGCAAGATTGAGCATGATACAGCTGCTAGGTTTATAACTCAAATTACTCCTGTTAAGTACAGCATCTTGTGATTTCCTATAAAAGAGCAAGTTTTTCGTTTGACAAATGCAAGAGCTATGATGAAGGAAGCCTGACAAGGCAATAGATTCTACATAGTTCCAATTTTAATGCTGCTTTGTTGACCTTAAAACTTTCCTATATACTTTTTTTGATTGAGTTTTGTTTAGTTCCTGGAAATGACATGTCTATGATGAGTTTTATGGGGTCCAAAATGCTGTTGAAACGAACTTATGATGGTCATGTGATCTTGTGCAGGTGATCGAGTCAGTTTTCCAGCAAGATCGGGGTCAAGTTGGTTCACCGGAGAACTTCTCTAAGAATCTATTAGTTGGCAAAGGGCAGGTGACTGCCATGTCCGCCCTCAAAGAGCTTCGCAAAATTAGCAATCTTCTGTCTGAGATGTGAGGCACTGAATAAATTTCTCGCTTGTATATATTTTTTTTGTAGTTATTGTTTGCTTAGTGCCTTGACGGTTGGTATCCTTTGGCTCCTCCGACATTGCCGGCAAATATATTTTTTTGAATCTTGAAGAGAGAACTGCATGTAATTATATATGTCAGCTTAGAAATTGGAAGTAAGGTAATGATGCGTTTCTCTGAGTTTTCAAGTCTGGTGAATGGGATTGCGTTAAAACTAGATTTTCATGTTCTTGGTTCATTTACAAGTTTTACTATAGGAAATCACTTTCTAGAATTTATGAGGGTTGAAGTGCTAAAGGAAAATTAGTAAATTCATCTGTGAGGATGCACTTTCTTCTCCTTCTGAACTTGATTTCACAGGAAATCACTTTCTCCTCTTAACCTTGCAAATTGAACCGTGATCACTCCTTGGAAAGCAAAAAGGGGGAGATCTGCTGATGTTATTGGTTTATGACTTTACCCCTTGAGGGATGGGTTGAAATTTCAAAATGCCAAGCCTCCCTTTGATTAATGAAAAGGTAGTCTTCACAAATTCTTCTCCCATCCATCGACAATGCTGCCACATTAGATCCATTAATTTCCATCTGCATCGTACACACGTGTAGTAGGTACATATACAATATGCACGTGATATGGTCGGGGTCATTGGTCAGCAAAGATTTGATTGGCGATGAGCTCAGGATCTTATTTACAACTAAATTAGCAACTTCACAATTTTATTTTAGACAAGTTTTACTTTAGATCCTCTTTTGAAAAAACGGCTCCACTTAAGACTCTTCTTTGAAATTCCCCAATACTTATTTGCCCTTAAAAATGAAAGAACATATTTTATTGGTTTGTGCCAAATTGCAGTCAAATTCAACACATGATTATCATAATACGAATATGAACTTTCAAGGACAGACCGATTTTGCTGAGTAAGTTAGTGAACCTGGTGACTCCCTACGTCTCTATCAATGAAGTAACGGCTCACATGTACAGGTTTTTCTTTTGATGCATGAACGTAGACTGTGAATCTTCGTTTGTGACCCTAACAGAGAAGACAAAGATATCATTAGTCGAGAAAGACAAAATTAAGCAGCAGTAGTTAGGGGTTATTTCAAATTAGGGTCTTGAAATGAGACTTAGAGTGGACATTATTTCATGTAAGGCCCCATTTGGTTCAATATTTGAAATGAGCATTGGGGCTCTAAAGTCCCTTGGCCAAATGCAAATGACGTTTGGCAATTTTTTTTTTAGCATTTTCGGAATGCTAGTAGCACTGCTCATCTTCCCTAAGGATATGGTCCGGAGGCCGACGACTGCCGCCAAAGGGCTGGGTCGTGCAACCTATGCGCCGCCTAAGGTCGGGCGACCCCCAGGCGGTGGTCGTCGGAGGTTGGGCGACCCCTCAGGCGGTGGTGGCCGGGGTCGCACGACCCAGGCAATGTCTAGATCACGCGACCTCAAGCGAGGCTGGCCATTGGCGGTTGGCCAGCAGCTAGATCTGGCAAGCGGAGGTTGGCTGGCTGCCGTTTTGGCCTGCCAATGGCTAAGCTCCACCTCAAAATTTTTTTTTTTTCAAATATTAGCAAAAGTCCTTTACAAAATTAGTTTTTACCAAACCGTATTTATACCAAATTTGCTTTCAAACGTGATTTTAAAATACACATTACCAAACATTACTTACATTTTGGAAAACCCCTTTAGCCTAAAGACCTTTGCATTTTGCCAAAGATATTCCCCCAAAGTCGAACCAAACAAACCCTTAAACCCTGAAATGGCCAATTTAGTCTCTAATAAGGCCTCTTATTCACTAGCAGGCCAAATCTTTAGCGCGCAGCGAGCCTATGTGTGTTAAGTGCATAGATGCACATAATATGTACAAGCTTGTTGGTCGGTAAAGATTTGGTCAGCCGATGAGCTCAAGACCTTATTTGAAACTAAATCGGCAACTTCAGGATTTTATTTGAGACAAATTCCATTTTGGGCCCTTTTTTGAAAAAACGACCTCACTTCTTTTTGAAATTTCCCGGTAGATATTTGTCATTATTTCAAGATGCAAAAGGCCAAAAATGATGTCATCTGAATCCCGATATATTATTCCAGGAATAAGTGCACAACCAAATTTTTTGTTTTGAAATACACAACCAATTTATTACATCGAAATTCTTGAGATGGCCAATATACATCCCGCCTTAATAAATTTGAGTTAAAATATAGACTTAAAACCCATTTTGACAGCCCTGCATGAGACGTTGGTACAATTGTAAGCAAATCCTTTGGATTGATATAGGTTTCATAAAAACAGGAGAAACGACTGAATGGTTCAAATCCAATTTATCCAAGATCCTTCTGTTCCTGTAATGTATCTCTCTCCCCCTATATCAACACATATCCAGCTATGATTTTTGTACATTTATTTCAAAAAACAAAAAAGCATTAAATTGAGCCTCTCAAGCCACTTCTTGGCTAAACTGCTTAATCTAATCAATGTTGTGAAAACCGGGGAGCAAGGAAGAGATAAAACCAAAGACAATCATCTGGATCTCCTTCACAATCCCCCACCAATTATTGGCCCCATTCTCGGCACCCGGTTCTGCTGGATTCCGGTTCTCAGCTGCCAGATTTCCATCATCTTCCACTGCACGGTTCTCATTCTCAGCGCCAGCTTGTCCGTCAGCTGCATTATATTACAGGAAAAATAAATTTGCATCGACCAGAAGAAAACATCAATTCGATAGGCACAATTGTCATATACCAGATCAATTTGATGGGCACACTTGTCATATACCAGACACCACTACTAGTGCTTTGTCTATCCTTGTTCCATGGAAGACATGACAAAATTTCTCTCCCATATCCTCACAAAGCAGCCAGTAGATACATGGACGGTCATATGTATGGAAGCAAATATTAAACTCTTTTGAATAGATTTCTCTACTTTGAGGCTTTTAGAAATGTTCTACTAGAACATAGTCGAACCCTAGGAGATATAGAGTTAATTTTGCAAAATAAGGGACTTGTAAGGACATTATCATATGATGGAAAAGGTACTCTATATCTCCTAGGGTTGACTTTAACTTTCCAAGAGACAAATCTATGGATCAACTGTATGAAATATCATAGAGTTGACTTTAACTTTCCCTGGATTGAGTTTGACAATGCATTATCATCTAGGAATTGACTCTCTAAGAGACAAATCTATGGATCAACTGTATGAAATATCATAGAGTTGACTTTAACTTTCCCTGGATTGAGTTTGACAATGCATTATCATCTAGGAATTGCCTCTCTAAGAGACAAATCTATGGATCAACTGTATGAAATATCGTAGAGTTAACTTTGACTTTCCCTGGATTGAGGTTGACAATGCATGAAATTTGCATTTCTGTGAATTAAATGGACCTGCCAGAGGCCGATTTTCGTTTCCTTGACCTGCAGCAGGTGGGTCATTCTCAGCTCTGACAGCAGGCCTTGGTGGATGAGGAGGTGCAGCTGCTCTCTGCATGCCTTGAGAAAGCCATCGAATCAATGGTGCCAGAGCTCCAGTTTGATACCTACATCAGCCAGTGTCCACAAAGTCAGCTTCACATTCAATAGAGATGGTGCTAACACAAAGTCCAAGAAAAAATGAGAACTCCAGGAGTCTCTTATACCCTGATTCCAAATGACAACAATTCCTCAGCATGCATTAATTGGCTTCAGCTAACAAAATAACAATACGAACCAGATCAAGGAGGATAAAAGCTCAACATTCCCCACCCTATAAGTAAGATTCCCATACTAGCAATTAAATGAATGCGGCAACGAATAAATAAGTCCTTGGACCAATCAAATTGAGAGGTTCACATGCAACAATCTGCAAACTCGTTAGTAGGCCCAGATACTTACAGATAAATGAGGGAAGCAAAAAACACAAGGACAACCAGCCTTTGTCTTGATCCATCTTGGTTGAACAAAAATATCACAGCAGCCAGCTTTACTATGAGAAACAAATCAAGCTGAATTGCAATCTGAAATCTCCTCACAACAACTTGTCTCTGAGGTGCAGGATGTTGCTGGGGGTTCTGTTGCTGGTGGCCCACCTGCCCCTGTTCCTCACCTGTTGACCCCGCCTCATGAACTCTTCTACTATAAGCACACAAGCAACAAAGTATAATTCAATTATTATTGAAAATCAATATTTTCATCCGCTTCTCAGTATCGAAGCATCACATGAGAACTTCAACATTAAGAAACTTAGACATACGACCAATGTGTAAAAAACTGTACCAGAGGCCATACTAGAGAACCAGTCAAATCGGCTAATTTAAAGTGAGGTTAGTTAAAGTTATAATAGCCAATATATACAAAAAATGCATATAAGTTCCAGGCGCAGGCGCAGCACAATTTGGATGTGCTTTTTATGTGTATCAAGAAGGCTCGAGATTGAGACACGTGGCCTACAACTTCGTAAATCTTTTTCAAAATGGGAAATAAACTGACTTTATAAATGTAAATTGGCAAGCATAAGTACGTAAAGGAGATTGGCTCAGCCAGTATAATTGCCAATTTGACTTCCATCCATGCACAATTTCGAGACTTCGGTGGACCCACCCCTTCTTTATTTTACAGTCACAAACCGGTCAAAGATCCGTTACCGAAAGTGGCATGAACTCGTCTACCATAAGCACACAAGCAACAAAGTATTAAAAGATCATTTATGATCGAAGATAAATATTCTCATCCTATTCTCAAACTCGATACAGATATTAGTTTATGAAAGCTCACATGAGAACTTTAACCTTAGGAAACTTAGACACACGACCAATGTTTTAAAAACTGTACGGGAGGCCAAACTGGAGAACCGACCAGTTCAACCAGAAGAACTGGTCAAGCCGGATGACTTGAAGTTATACAACAGCCTGTATATATGCACAAGTTCCAGGTGCATGGCTGAGCTTAACCAGTATGGGCTTCTAATGTGTATCGAGAGGACTTGAGTTCAAGACTCATGGCCTGTAACTTTGTAAACCCTTTTTCAAATGGGAAATAAGCCAACTATATATATGTAAATCAACAAGAATAAGTACGTAAAGGTAATTGGCTCAGGTGGTATAATTAGCAAATTGACTTCCATCCATGCGTGATTTCAAAACTTCTGTCCACCCATCCTGTTCTTTGTTTTATAAAGTCAATTAACCGGTTGAAGATCCGGTTTTAACTGAAACTGCATGACCCGTCTAACTGGTTTCAGCCGGTTTGACCGGCTCTTGACCGCCACAGGCATAGGATTCTGAATATCAGAGGACAGGCCAGTACACAGTTGAACAGGGCGGTCCAGTCCGGTTTCTAAACCACTGCATATGACACACTTTCAAGGCGATGGAAAGAGCATGTCTTTCCACTTACTTCATGATATAGTATTTAGGATATAAGGAGATGCTACTTATATGCAATTGTCAGCTTGAGGGGGCAGAAAAGAACTGAGCAATATACAGGAGAACTGTCCCCCCCGCCCCCTTTTAAGGTAATGTTTCTAGCCCACGATAGGAGAAGGAGAGAGGGAAGGCAAGCAATCAGATAATTTCAACTGATGGATATTACAGATGGATTTCCTGATTACAAATTAATTACAGCAAAACAAGTCAACAGCAGCAAATAGACCTAACATAAATGATGCATGTCGAAATAATTATAGACAAGTTTATAATAAATTAAAGTCCTCGACAGACAATCGATTGGATGTACTTACGTTGGTATATTATAGGTAAGAGGGATAAGGGTGTTGGATTGAAGTCCAGAAAAGGACCCAAGGTAGGAAGAAACTGGAACTGCGTAGATGCCAGCTCCCCTATTTGTCTGCTCTTGATTTTGCGAATTACTTAGGCTGGGACCTAGGGTAGGATAGAAGATGGGGAACATTTGCATATCACCATTTCCGGGAACTGGAAAAGCAGAGGATAATGGAACCTGAGAATACAAGGCCAAAAGACGAAATGTGAAGCAGAGTACAAATATGATTCAGAGTCTATATACTAATTCTAAGCACTCTATGACAGGACAATAATGAACAAATGGTGCGGCCGAAGTTACAAATCAACCAAAAAGTAACATGATTTCAAAACTGCAAGCAAACTTAATAGACAACAGAGGCAGTCGTCTAAGACAACAGATCTCGGCACTAGACACTAGACAAAAACTTGCACTGCAGCAACAACTCGAGAATCCCTCCTAAGCAAACATGTAAAGCACATAAAAATTCCAGATGCAACAGATAAGCAAACAGAGACAATTCAATCATCACATCCACCGTGTTTTGCGCCACCATGTTGAACGACATCCCAGCAGCGAAAAGCCGGTTTTCTAAACCAAACGTCAAGCTCATCTCCTTCACAGGCGCATCTGAACCTAATATATAACTCGAATATACCGTTATACAAACTTCAAATATTGCACACAAGTCCAAGCAATCAAGCCGCTCATTTTTCCCCACATCAGATACGCGAAAGCAACAATTCAGCGCAATCTCACAACGAATAGAGAAACACAGACTCTGCGAATCGGACATTCCACGAGGATCAAGCACCGATAGCCCAAAACCAAAACCCTAGCCACCGCAAATCCAACAGATCAAAGTTCTAAGAAGGCGAAAGACGAGAGAGGAAGACGTGCCCAGCTAGCAAACGGAAGGAGGACGAGGAAACTAAAGGAACCTGCGTTTGTAGCCGAATGGTGCCTTGAGGAGATTTCTCCGGCGACGACGACGACGGCGGCGGAGGCGGTGGCGGCGGTGGCGGGGGCTGTGAGGTGGACGACGGCGTCTCGGGCACCTCCGCCATCGAAGCAAATGCCTCCTCTTCGCTCTGGCAGCTGTGTCGCGGAAATGATGGACGGAGCTCGCGCGCAAGGAAGACTTGGTTCGGTGCGAGTCTTACAGATTCATTCCATTCTGCAGATTCGATTGAAGGAGATTTTGGTTCAAATTTTTTTTGCAAAGGTCCCACTGTGTTTCGTCATCGTGGCCCCACGGAACCAATGGGCTCATGCCATGTCAGCACATTGAAATATCATTGCTAGGCTTCTTGCAGGAACATGGTTTGGCTTTACCACATCACAGTTACTTCCTCTTCTTTTTCTCAAATTAATGAATTACACATGAGACGTGCCAACATCATTTTCTCATGCCTAATTGTACCGAAATTAAGTTCTGGTTGTTTTTCATCTCCTCACGTATCCACACGAAGCATAGTACCGGTATAACAATTCATTTTTTCGTCCCCTCAATGCAAAATGCATTGGGTGCCAGTAGCACGCGTTTTATTCTACTAAAGGTTTTTGACACAATGCATTGGGTGTTCAGCTCATTTCAAGTGTCGCATTTTACTATAATACTACATTGTTTAGTGTGATAGAGGAGAGACAATTTACCCCAATGCGAATCTTTCTAACAAATTCAAAACATATTTAACCCGAAAGAACACTTGCTGCCATATGGCTACTCGAAGTTTGTTTCCCCAAACCATGTTTGAAATTACAAGAACATTTCATTGTGAATCTGAAGCATTAACAAAAGACTTAATTTGGACACTATTTGCGATTTGACTAATCATGGCTTATTATTTATGGATCATTTCTTACGTTGAAGAAACAAATTGTTGGGATCTCGACGGCGTTCGTGAAAATGCTTGCTCCTCATTACACCTTCCCCTCCTTTTTAGGCCGCTGCTTCTACTTGGAACCTCTGTAGAAGAGGGTATTGGAAACTTTCGGACACGACCCCCTCTGTGCTGTGATGCACAGTACCTGTCAACTCACTCCGTGTGCTCGAGCTTTTTGTGCGTTCACGTATGTCTCGAAGAAGATTACTATAAGGAAAAAATTGCGACTAACAAATGAACGTCCAAACGGTTAAATAATATTGCAAGCTTGCAGCAAGTGAATGATCATTTACAGAGAAGACAGAAATAGGATGAAAACGGACAGGTTCGAATTGATAAATGAAAATTTTTGTCCCCCAGATCATTCCAAGATAGGATATGTACAACATTTCCCGCCCGCTCACTTGCCCTTCTAGACCTCCCACCTTATTCTCATAGCCTCCTGCGTTCAATATCTAATTAGCACTTGATCCTGCCATGAATTCAGAAAAAAAAAAATTGAATCAGCTCTCAGATAAAAGCATGCAGAGAGGTTCTTAGATCCGATGAAGAAACCTCACGTCGGAACTAAAGTCTACCGCGTATAAAGAAACGTCACATTTCGAGAAATTCATTACTTCGCTTCACTCCACCACTAATTAATGTGGCTTAAATTAAACATGTTCCTTCGGCAAAAAGGAAATATTCTAACATGTTCCACAGCCAGATATGTTGGGTTAGTTGATTTTTCTATGGTCTAAGTACAGGTCCTATACAAATTTCTTTCTCTGATTGTTTGGTAAGTTGTTTTGTGAACTACACTATTTGCTAGTCTGACAGACACAGCGCAGGCAATAATTTCCCATTGGTCAAAATAAATTCATATACCTCAATAAAAAAATGCGTGTTATCAGTATAGACAAGCCTCTGATGATGCATATAATGCTAGAAAACTAAAGTTTTTATGAATTTTTGTGGAAGGACAGTGGTGGCATAGCAAGAGAGTATGGTGCATCCCTCCATGCAAAACAGCAGGTGCCAGATACACAGAAGACATAAGCCAAATAGCAAGTGTAGAGAGCATATCCAAGCCAACATTTCAGAATCTTCAACTAAGTTGAGATCAGGGAAGACGGACGCACTTACCCTACCAGCCATCACGACTATTAGGACCCCGATGCTTCTTATTCATCATCATCAGATTCACGGTCTTCTGAGGTAGTGAACACCCTAATCTCTACTACCTCTTCCTTAGACAACTCATTTGCCGACTTCATGTTCGGGTTATGTGCTGATTCACCATCTGCACAGGAAGAAATTATCACGGACATCACTCATTGCTTAGAAGTTGTCGAAAATACGACAAACCAAGGAATAATCGCTTAAATCTCTGGTAACTGCATGCTTGTAAACTGCTTATCTTTTTATAGTTTCAGCAATTTATTGATCTCATCACTGATTGTGAGAAATCTTTTGGTCATGATACCAAGTTGGCTTTCTTGAAGATGGATACCCACAGAAAATTATCTTCATCACGTCTCTCTTTTTAAAGAGTGTAAAGCTTCAGTACAAAATAATGGACCAACCAGGAAAAACAACAAGTATTTCGTATAGCAATTTGCAGTTTAACCAGCTTCAGTAATCAGTATCCAACAGCTAAGCACAAGCAGCCAGAAATTAAGAATCATTCAGAGCTGCTTAGTAGAAGGATGAAAAGCCAAGGCAATAGCCCGAGAAAGGTGCTGATGCTTCTAACACAAGCAGATCAATGATCAACCGGGGCACCTCATTAATACTTCTTCAATATTTTTCGGTTCGTTCCACCTGAATCTTATTAGTTATAAACACAAGCAGATCATTGATAAACCAAATTACCTTACTAATCACGGAAAAGGTGCTAATTCTTCGCCATACTTCTCTGATTCTCACACTATTCATGACAATTTTCTCATCTTGACATCTAATCTACATCGATGTTCATAATTTTCTTGCTGGCAAGTCAGAAAAGCTATCCCCCCCCCCCCACCCTAAAAAAAATAATAATAACAAATGATGATATCAACCTTATGTCCTCAACCTACGAATTGACTTGAATTAGCAACAGTTAAGTCCTCGTCAATCCAAATCAACAAGAGCCACAATATACATTCGATCGAATCACTTAACACGGCCTCCACTCACTGTCACTTCTTATAACACCTCGACATAGAGAATTGAAATTCGAGCACGACAACTTCATTTATTGGAATCTGCGAACTTTAATTAAGCATCGCTTCTCGAAATCCAGAGAATCAATCTCATGAACAGTAGATCGATCATCAACCGTCGATCCAGAATTTCTCCAAGCGCTCGCACGACTAATTAACAAACAATCGGAAAGTAAAAAAAAAGAAAATTTTTCCAACACTTTGCAATAACATGAAATTGAAGCAAGCTATGCAGGGGGTCAACCCTAACCTGGTCGTGCCAAATACTCAAAGCTGGGCCAACCGCGAACGGTGGCGAAAGACAGATTTTCATCCTCCTCGACGGTCAACGGCCTGGCCAATTTCCCGACGAGATCGACGACGTTGACCGGCCGCCGCCGTGGCGGTACCCAGAAGGAGGAGCCGGGGACGAAGGGGAGCCAATCGGGGGTGGACTTCTGGACGAGGATGGAGTGGATGGCCTCCTCCAGGCCCCTCAACCCCAGCACCTCTCCCTCGTCGTCCGATGCGGAATTGGAAGAAGCCGACGACGACGACGACGAAGACGACGAGGAGGAGGACGCGGAGGAGAGGGTCGATTCGAGGTCGATCTCGATGAGCTTGCCGGAGCGGTTGGAGCGGTTGCGGAGGGAGATGAGGGCGATGGAGGGCGGCGGGGGCTTGATGGGGTGGCGGGAGTGGCGGAGGAACGTCTGAGAGAGGAGCCTCGCCATTGGTTTTTTTTTTTTTCGCCTGCTCTTTGGCCGGAGCTGAGTTGGAGACCGAGACGACCGAGTTATGCGACTCGGGAGTCGAGGAGCAGTGGGACGTGCAGGTGAGGAAGGTAGACGAGAGGGAGGCGATGACTATTGACTGCGGATGATCGGCGCGTGTCCCATTAGATTCTTTACGCTTTTCTTTTTGGCACTCCTTTTTCCAAAATGAAGTTTCGTCTTGATTTCTCGTGTTTTTTAATTTCCAAAAGAAGGTTCTATCTTTTCTATCCCCCGCAAATATACTCATCGATTTCTTTTTGGTCGAATACTCATCTATTCATTTTTATGGAAAAATGACACAAATAGATCTTTAATTTTGGCTCAATATGCAATGTAATTTTTGAATTTTTAATTTATTCAATATAGTTCATGAACTATTCAGGGACTACATTAAACATTTTCATACAATTCAGGGAAGTACATGAGCCAAATTAAAAGTTCAGTGACCGCATTGAACATTAGGTTAAAGTTCATGGATTACATTGAACAAATTGAAAATTCATTGACCTTATTGCACATTGAGCCAAAGTTCAAGAACTGTTTGTGTCATTATCGCAATTTTTATATGTTTGTAAATTTCGTAAATTAAGCAAACCTTTTCATGTCAATGCATCTAGCACTGTCCGTTTACACTTTTTTTTTTCTATTTGGGCAAAAGCAACCAAATATTTATCCTGAACCTTTTTTTTGAGATATCAAAATCCTAAATCTATACCCGTGTGACACATTTACCATCTATCATATGATTTTCCAGCCTAAACGAAGTCGTTTTTATTCTACTAAAATCACGTGGAGGCATAGGCAAATTTATGATGGCGCTTACTAATGAAACCTTGATTTAAGGGTAAATATGTCACATATATATATAAGTTTTGCATTTTTTATGTTATAAAGTAAAATTTAGGGTTCCCTTTATATTTTGGCATTATGTTGAGATGAGAATAGGTTCATGAGATACTTTCATAAGGACTGAGCAAGTTTATAGCCTGGTGACCAAGTGAAGTGAGCACTTTGATGTTTCGATTAGTAGTAACTTTACGTTTATTAAAAAAGTAGGTGTCTACTTATTTTTTAATCTTCACAAGTTCTAGAGATTAAACATAAATAAAGAGGTAAGTTTACCATAGTGATTACGAACTTTTCAATATTAGAAAAAGCATGTCCATAGAAACTTGTACATTTTCTAGACAATCAATAATTTGGGATTAGAAAGAAATAATCTTTCACTTATTTGTAGTCAGTAAATTTTCAACACCTATAGTAACTTCCACATAAATGAAGAAGTAAGTTTGACCATTTTAAGAAACCAATAATTCTCAACGTATCAGCAACTTTTAACCCTATGAAAATAGCAAACTTCTTAAAGGCAAACTGTTCAGCTAACCCTTAATATTCTTTTTTGGGGAAAAGTGCTGAATAAGTCCTAAACCTTTTGGGGTGGTGCCAATTTAGTTCTAAACTTATTTTTGATGCCAATTAAGTCTTAAACCTTTTGATATAGTGCCAATTCAGTCCATTTGGCTGGATTTTGCTGACGTAGACGTCGGCCCCGGTCATCGGCGCTGACGTGGATAAAATTTAATAATATTTTAACATTTTTTTCTTTTTTTGTCTTCTCCCTCTTCCTTCAGCCGCTCGCCGGAGCGGCGACCGGCCACAGGCCAGAGGCCGGCGAGGTCGACCTCGCCAGCTTCTGGCGAGCCACGCAAGCCACTGTCGAGGCTCGCCCTCGCCGGCGACGGCCAAGGAGAGCCTCGCCATGGCTGGGCGAGGCTAGACCTCGCCAGATCCGGCGAGGTCAAGCCTCGCCAAACCAGGGCGAGGCTTGACCTCGCCGGATCTGGCGAGGTCCAGCCTCACCCAGCCGCCGGCGAGGTCAAGCCTCACCAGTGGCCGGCGTGGCTCACTCGAGGTCAGCGAACCCAACCTCGTTGGCCTTTGGCCTCCGGCCGGTCGCCGCTCCGGCGAGCGGCTGAAGGAAGAGGGAGAAGGAAAAAAAATTCAAAAAAATATTAAAATATTATTAAATTTGGTCCACGTCAGCGCTGGTGACCGATTGACGTCCACGTTAGCAAAATCCGGCCAAGAGGACTGAATTGGCACTATATCAAAAGGTTTATGACTCAATTGGCACCAAAAATAAGTTTATGACTAAATTGGCACTACTCCAAAAGGTTTAGGACTTATTCAGCACTTTTCCCTCTTTTTTGTGATTAGTGACCTCAACAAAGAGAGGGAGTAGAAACTCCAACAAGGGCCTCTGCTGCCTATCTCCATCTTGTTGGGAAGGCTCTATATGCCGGTGCTTGCATGTCTCGTATCTCAAATTCCTTCCTGTATCTTTGTTTTCTAAAGGAAGATGGAATACCTCTAGAAATTTTACATCCCGTTGATTCCGAGGTGTGGACGAGAATCAAGATGAAGCCTTTTAATGACTTGTTTAGGTCAATTTTATTGAATTGCAGTAAAAGAAAAAAGAAAAAGAACTTGCATGGATCATGTACAATCCCATTGACTTTTACCTATGCGAGAGCCCAATATTGACCGAGGGCTCTTGAGCCTACAATCGAACCGGATTCAAGAAAAACTAACCGTTAAAATAGAGTCTTTTAATGTCCTGCTTTGATCGAATTACTAAACTATGGTAAAAAAAGAAAATGAAGAACTTGCATGGATCTTGTACAATCTCATTGACTTTTGCCTATGCGAGAGCCCAATATTGACTGAGGGCTCTTGAGCCTACAATCGAGCCGGATCCAAGAAAAACTAATTATTAAAATGGAGTCTTTTAATGACTTGTTTAGATCGAATTACTAAACTATGGTAAAAAAAGAAAAAGAAAAATAAGAACTTGCATGGATCATGTACAATCTCATTGACTTTTTACCTATGCGAGAGCCCAATATTGACCGAGGGCCCTTGAGCCTACAATCGAACCGGATCCAAGCAAATCCAACCGTCAAAATGGGGGCGGAACCCACCGTTTCCATGCCCCCCGTTATCGATCGATCCAATCAGGCCCGTACCGTAACTCTCCTCCTCCTCCTCCTCCTCCTCCAACATCTTCTTCCCATCAAAATTGGAGACGAGAAAGCCAGGGATTAGGGTTTGCAAGCCTCTCGCTGAAACCACCAGGAACGAAGCTGCAATGGCGCTGAGGCAGTTCTACAACGAGATCAGGGGGATGAAGGTGAAGGAGATCCCCAACTACGTGAAGCCCAAGCTGTCGATCGACTACGTGAAGAAGTCCGTCCAGAGGGGCCTCGACAGCTACCACGCCAAGTACATCGAGACCGACTCCATCGATCCCGTCTACCACGTCTGCTTCGGCGGCATGGCCCTCTCCTACCTCGTCGCCCTCCCCAACGAGCGCCGCCACCTCGAGCACAAGCAGCACGCCAAGGAGCACGGCGGTCACTGATCGATCCATCCGTCGGGGAAGGTGCGTTTGCTCGGATCGGAGAATTGGTTTTGTTGTCTGCGCCCCTTCCACGGTCGTCTTTGGGATGGATCTTCCGATGAAGTCATTCGATTATTGTTATCCGACAAATGCTCGCTCTCTTCATTGACGTGTTTGCGGTCGTGGTCGTGTTGCATTGTGGTTACGTTTGATGTCACGTGAGCTCGTTGGCTTTAATCTCTCGTTGAAGTATGAGTCGAGGCATTCTTTTGCTTAGTTGTGATAGGCGTGGGTGGGTATCTTGTGGATTCATTAGGATATAGTTATAGACGGTGAGAAATGAGCTAGGTTGGTTTGATTTTTCTTTAATTGAAACACGAGCTGAATTGGGTGTGCCTTGAACATTGCGTTCCTTGGCAGGTTTCTGTGGTTGAGTTTTTGCGAAGGCTTGAGCTCTGGTTGATTAGGAAAACTCGATATCAGTTTATAGAATTGATTGATAATTATTTTGACACTGTTGAGTTCAATAGGAACCCCGTGTTCCCAATGCAATGTTTATTACTCTGGTGAGTGGAGTGCCTTCCTCTGCTGCCTCTAATCGTAGAACTACTAGTTCTGCCCACCTGGTGTTATTCTGGTGCTTGGTCAATACACTTTCGAAAAGGTGGTAATCTGGTGGATGCATTGGTTCAAGAGTCGTTTTAATTTATGATTATCCCCTGTCGGTAATATAGGGTCTTATCTTACGGAGCATACTGATTTGGAACTTCTTTCTATCATGCCATTTATACATGGAGTTGTGCGACTTGGTCCTACTGCTGATTGAGGAAAAGAGGTGGAAATGGAGCAGTGGCGTGTTTTTATGGGCCTTCCTCTTTCTATTAGTATGTCAGTTTATTGGACTAAAAAGGTATTCAAGAGAGATTTCTTATTAATATCGGACAAACACGAGAGAGTATATTGGGAAGCAACCAGTGATTAGTAAGACCGGAAGAATGACTATTCTATTTTCTTGTTGTCAGTGTATTTCTGAGAGGCTTTCTTTTCTGTAATCACAAACCCAGCACCATGCCCTATTTTACTGAATGGTCCTTTTCTTTTAAGAAAAATAAGGTATAGGATGAAACCTATATTGGACTTTGCCACTTGATAGCAAGGTATTGGGTGGGTATGATGAAAATGAGGTGCAGTGTGCTGAGGCCTTAGAGATCTATTGAAATTCTAGCGAAAAATGTACAGACTGCTTTCATCAGCTTCGGGCAATTTTCTGTTCGATAAGTAACAGCGTGGGCATCTTTATGAATCATGGTTAAAAGCATCGTATCATGAGTTAGGTCTGTCAATTTCTTATCTCCTGCTTTGGAGTATCTGTCTTCTTTAACTGGAGAGATTTGGACACTTTATTCCCTGTTGATAGAAGTTCCAAGTGAGGGGTTCAGTTCTCCGGCTTTTCATTCTCTGTTGAAACTGTTGACTTAATTACTCAACCTTTCAACAGAGCTGCGTTAAAGGTTCTTTCTTAAAGGGGCCTCCAGACTTATCCGAAAGAATTGTTCAACTTGCGCATCACTATGAAATTGAGATGTTATGAGCATAAATAACCCTTTGTGAATTACTAAAATCATTGTGCTTGGCTTAGGCATTGTATGACCCCAACATGAATGTTAAGAAGTGCACATGCATGTCTATCTAATGGGATATTGTAAAGTACTCAGCGGGGTTGAGTTCACTTAATGGACCCCTGGAATTTGGCATGACTCACATAATGTGAGGCTTGGGACTTGAGTCAAGATTGATTGGTATATATTCTTTACAAGAATTGACCTGGCCCTTGTGCTGGAAATCAGCTGGACCTTGAATATTCAATGATGTTTTTGTGCTCACGTTAGACATTATGTATGTTCAGGCATGTGATTAGTCAGATGTTCTAAGAGGTTCATGCCTCCAACTTCATTAATAAAGGTTGCTATCCTGTAGATTGAACCGAGCTCATGTTCATACTTCAACTTCTATTTGGTAATACTTGAGTCGAGTCGACTTATTGTGTGCACTATGCACCCTATATATTTGCAACACTAGTGAGAATTTTTCCAGAGCTGTACCTTTGCAATAATCCGAAGTCTCACGCATGCAGGGCTTATGATTTATTTGGGCCTAACAATTATGTGGAAGGTTTCCATGACGTACTTGCTGATTCTGCTTAGTGCTGTCTATTTTTTACTTTATGCCGTTCTCTGCCGCCTCATTTGTACCACAATAACTTCATATGGGCATATGGCTCGTTTATCTGCAAGTTATTACTTTTTCCCCTCATAATTTGTTCTCTGTTTCCTTGCAGGGGTCAAGATGGTTGCTATGTGTTGATTCTCTCTATCCTCGAATTTCTGATTATCATCGGGAAGACATGAACTGTCTAGCACACCAATTGGTGCATCCAAATAATGTGAACTTTGTGTCATTTTGTGTAAGTTTTTACATTGCGGATGTTACTTTCATAAGTTTTCCTATAATGGTGAATGGAAACACATGTTGAAATTGAGGTGAATGATGACTGGCTCCGAATTTGGATGGCAGCATGGTTCTTAATTTAGTTTTGAGGCTTGAATAAGTGTAGATGGTTTTGAACTGGATTCAGACTACCTTCTTTAAAGCTGCTTGTTTCACAAATCAATGGGCTGAACCGGTTGCATCTCCCCAATCTATCGAACAGCTTTTCTGGGTCTTGATTACTGGCTGACAATGTATGAAGTCGGGTACATAGGTCATATATGCATCGCAGTGTCAATATTCTCAAACAAGTGCTATCCCAATTTTCATCTTTAGAATGCTGTGGATAATGGGAAGGCATAAACGAACTAGAAGAGGAAAGTGGAGTGTTCAGTGTGCCCCTCGTCAGTATTTGGTGAAGACTACGCAGTAGCCTGGTGTGTCTTGCCTAGTTAATGGCAACCATTGCCGTGATGACGAAGTGAGTTAGAAAGAACAGATATTAATTGTTAGGCGTGTTATGTATGTCTGGTTCATGCTCTTTCAGGAAGTAGTGTCCATTTCATCCCATCTTGGGGGTTAAAAGGGAGACAAATCTCTTTGTTCTTTGAGCAAATCCATGGTCGAACTTTGACAATTCACGCCTTTGACCAATCGATCTCTACATGTGGAAGCCAAATTAACGAGTCGTCAAGCTCTCTCGCTCCCGTGCATTTCGAAATGTGAGGGAAAAAGCACCAAGAGGATCATCTAGTTATTGTCCTAACAAATGGGCTTACATGTTACATATCACGAGGTGTCGCGTGTTCGTCCATCCCCTTAGACCGGACCGTCTGTGAACAAAGTGTCATTGTACAAACATCCCCTTAGACTGGACTGTTTGTGAACAGAGTGTCATCAAACGAACAACATGATGAATGCCTTGTTAAGAAATTTCAAAGAAGTCGAACTTTCGAATTATTACGCGTACCATGAGAAATAGTAGACTATGAAAAGTTGCGCTGGTTTTTGTTTTTTTATTTAATTGCTCGATAATTAAATTAAGAAGGTGTCTGAATGGGTACGGTCTTTTTTAGTCCAACCCAAAGCCCGTAAGCAACTAAAGCAAACATCTCTTCGGGATCGAGGAGCATCTGCGTTGGCGTGACGAACCAAGAAATCCAAGGGAGGAAGAGAGTAGAAGAGAAGTAGGGAAGTAGAAGCAAGAGAATCGAGAGAGAAGTGCGTTTGATCAGAGCATCAGAAAGGTAAGGAATAAGAGAGGGGGAATCGGCAATAGGAAATTTATGACCCAGAAGGCGCGAAGTATTCAAGGCTAAAAAAGCAGGGCTGTGTCGAATGGGCTTCGATCTTCACTCCAACCTGGCCCATCAATTGCCATTTGCTTTCCGTTCTTCCATCTCAGGCTCTCCCTTCTCAAATCTCCTTTGCTCGGGTCGTGGGAACCTTGGAACCAAGTTCACCGAATTCCCTCTCGAGCGCTCGTTCGTCCGAGCGTAAACGGCGGCTGAATCCATATTCGACTCTCGTCCCGGTTCTAGCTATAAGAGTGTAATCGATCAGGCTTTTGCTCGAAGCGCAGTTGGGAGCGGAGAGGAGAGAGAATGAATGCGTCTTCGTCAGGGAAGGCACGAGGCTCTTCCTCCTCCCAGCCCTCCGAGAGCTCCTCCAAGCGCAAGCGCGGCATCTTCCAGAAAGAGCGTATGCTTTCTCGTCCATCCCTTTCTTCCCACGATTCTCTCTCCTTTATTTTTTGTCCGATTATTATCGTACTTACGTGATCCCCGCTCGATTCCAGTGCAGCACATGATGTACGGTTTCGGTGACGATCCCAATGTGAGTTCCCGCTTTCTGTCTCGCTCGTCGCTTCGTTTGGAATTGCCACCCTTCTTCTTCTTTTTTCTGTTTGCAATTTCTCCTCGAATATTATTAATTCATGCCCCTAATGGGAGACCTTGTAAATTTCGTGGGTGAAACTCTGTCGTCGTTTCTTGATCGCTTGTTCGTAGCAAAAGAGAGATGTTTCATACTCATCTCTTGTGAAATGTGTGATTCTGGCGATACCCCCCAGTTGATGTCTTGTGCGCAAAGAGAACAGTTTAAGAAGAACTGTATCCAGCAGGATTGGTGAGGGAGGATTGTTACTCTTATTTCTCGCTAATAGTGTCGGAAAAGTAAGCTGAAGAACGATCTGCCATTCGTATGTTGTCAATAGGCGCACTGTAAGTATGGTTGCTCAGATTTGAACTCGGACCAACCGTGGTATATACTGATGATGAACGCATATTGTGTGGTTGGGGGTTATGTTGGCTCTCCTTTGAGTTCGACTACAATGAGCGTGGAAAACTTTGCCAAAGTGGGGCTCTTGCTTTCTCTGGGAGTTTTGGGAAGTTGTAATGAATGCCGTGTGACCGGTATTTTGCTTTTCTCTGACTGAAAAGGCGTTGCAATGGACTCGTGTCAACTAGCCGAGCCCAACTAGCTACTTGTCTTTGTCTTGTTATGAAAGCCTCTTTTGAGTGTGAATCTGCCAACTGACCTCCAGATTAGTGAAGCTAAAGATGGGTTCGTTGTTGAATCAGCAAGCCACAAGTATCTAGACATTAAGGATGAATCGAAAGCCACGCCCTTTTTTCACCTGTGTATCAAACCCTTTCTTGTCCTTTGGTCAACATGCGACCAATTTACTGGGAAAAGCTATTGAGTTGCTGATCCTGATGCCTATTCGTATAGATTACTTTGCGAGTTATTCAGTTGGACAGCACATATGAGTTACCCATGATAGAATTTGAGAGGAGTAATAATTTTTCCTATTTATTAGAGGAGGTTTGAAGGTTGCACCTGCACTTGACATATACATTAGCCAAATGCATAGAACTTGATCAGTAATTTATGCACATAGTAGAGCATCTTGAGTGTGGAAGGTTTTTCTCGTGGATGACTGGAAAGCTGTACAACTATCAGTGTCTTTGAATCAGAGCTTACAAGAAAATTCTGTATTATCAATCATATAAGAAGAATTAATGTTTCTAAGCATGGATTACCTTGCTTCTGTAGGCCAAAACATTGGAGTAATTCGCTAGGTAATCATCTTACCCCTGTTTTAGCTTCTTCATGCTGTAAGAAGTTGAAGTCTAAGCCATCTTATACTCACATGCCTCATCAACACTGGATGCTCAAGATTGAAATGTTTTCTTTCTGCTGTTTAGAGAATGTTTTGTCAGATAGTTCCATTGGGCATTGACGAGGAATTATCATGTGATTTGCTTTGAAATGCATGGAGACCGAATGTCCTTTCTGTACAATGTGAAATATTCACTCAGTTAAATTTGTTTGGTGATCAGCCACTTCCAGAAACTGTGGCGCTTGTTGAGGACATTGTGGTGGAGTACGTCACAGATTTTGTAAGTACTTTGGTTATGGCCTCTGCATTTCTTTTAGGAGGTATTGAAAAATTAAGTTGCTGTCTTGAGCTGTGCAGGCTCATAAAGCACAGGATATTGGATCAAAGAGGGGAAAGCTTTCTGTTGAGGATTTTCTTTACCTAGTCCGCAAGGTATGATCAGCAAAGTACTTTTTGCCTTTTCTTTTCTTTCTATTGCTTCATTTTGGATATTAGTGTTTTTAAGTATGTCTGATCCCCAACCCATTTTGATGCAGTGTATGGATGACATTAATTCTTGGGAAATAAGAATTTCAGAATAGCTTACTTTTGCCTCGTCTATTTTGATCCTTGTAGTCAAGCCGCTTTTTGCAAAGTCATGGCATATATCTTAGAAGAGCTTAGTTAACACCTTGCGCAATCACCCTTCTGTTGTGTTTTTGTTGGCTACTACTAGCATGGTGCATACTCTTTCATCCTTATACGATGGGATGTTACTCATCATTTCATCTTCACCGACATTGTGGAAGTAATTGATGAACAAACTGTACATCTCCTTGCTCTCGTCCTCTTCAATGATATACTGGTTTTGAAAGCAAGATCATTAAATATTTGGCCCTGCAGGATGCGCCAAAGCTTAACCGCTGCAAAGAGTTGCTGTCTATGCAAGAAGAACTAAAGCAAGCTAGGAAAGCCTTTGATGTAGACGAGGAAAAGCTTGCGGCATCCCTGGACTGAGCTATAGATACTGTCTAGGATTCTCAGTGCAGGTCTTGTCTGGTGTTAAGATGTACAAGTTAAGACCCGTGGCTGTCCAATTTTGAATAGGAATGAAAAGAAAATGGATGCGGTTTCGTCACCTCACTGCTGATTATTGGTTGTTTCTTTTCCAATTGTCAGGTTCTTTATCTAGTTCAGTTCAAACAGATTTTGTGCAGCGCCATTTGGTGCTCTCAAATGCGACCCTCCTGGTTAACAGTGATGCATCTTTTTGTTTTCTCCATGAAGGGTGACTGACAGGGATTACCTTGTCAGTTTTGCTTCTATTGATGGTTTGAGCACCACAACAATGCAGAAGTATTATGAAATGGTTTCAGTTGGTGTTGTTCGAGAACGCTTGCATACAAAATTAATGATCTGCTAAAGACGGATTTGAGCATCATAAACTCAAGCAGAACTACCGCAGGAAACTGTAGCTTGAGCAGATTTTTCTTATGAAAATGATTCACGATACTTGAATCTCATCATAGAGTTCAACGTTGCCAGCTGAATGGAGAAGAAAGAAGGCTATCAGAGCTCAATCTTTAACATGGGAAGATCACCTCGTGTAGATATAAGAAGATAAAATACAGTAATACACTTTCTAGGAAATCATCTGATGCACATGTCCACTACCAATCCAAATCTTGATGGCTCAAGTATATGAACAGCATATAGGATGGGCGACAGCTCTTTTAGGTTCCCTCACCTAGGATCCTTGGGAAGAGGATCTGGTTGGCCCTTGAGCATTTTGATGCACTATTTTCCTTCAACTCATTGAGAGTAACGTAGCAAGGAAACGAAAGAAAATGCACGGACCGACTCTATCATCTTTCACTCCGTATGAATTACAAGATCATTCTAAGGATGCGTTTGGCAACCATTCTGATCCCGGAAATAATTTTTATTCAGAAATGATTCTTTTTTATTCAGTGTCCATGAACAATTTCTAAGCATTTGAAGGTATTTGGTAACTGTCCAAAATTTATATTCTTGGAATAGAAAAAGAATAAAAATGCGTTTGGTAACTGCACAAAATTTCTTTTTATTAATAATATTTTAAATTTTTTAATATTTATTTCTTCTTCTTCCCCTTTCTTGGCCATGGCCAGGTCGCCGGCACCAGCGACTAGCCACAGGCCAAGGCTGGCGAGGCCGGCTAGCGGCCTGGGTGAGGGCCGCCCTCGGTGGCCTGGGCAAGGGTTGCCCTCGCCAGATTTAGCGATGGCTGCTCTTGCCCAGGTTGCGAGCCGCCCTCGCCCAGGTCGCGAGGGTCCAGCCCTTGCCCTCATCAGCCTTGGCTTGTGGCCGGTCGCCAGGGGGCCGGCGACCGACCGCAGGCCAGGAAGAAGAAAAAGAAGAAAACCAAGAAGAAGAAAAAATTTTCTTTTCCATTTCTGATTCTTGTTCCCAGAATCAAGAAGTAATTTTTTTTTTGTTTCTTGATTCCGGGAATAAATTTTTGCAAATTTGTGTCCGGGTACAAAAAAATTACCAAATGGATTTTTGTTCCAAAACTGATTCTGGGAACAAAAAATAGAAATAATTACTATTTGGCCAGTTGCCAAACGCGCCCTTACTGTTTAACCGGTTGCCAAACACGCCCTAAATACACCTTCGTCATTCGAGGATTGTGGACTGATCATCCTACTCAATGAGTGGAACGCATTGGCGGTACATTTGTTAGGTTGAGCACTAAAAATCGGAAAAAAAAAAGAAGGCAATCAATCATTCTCAAAACTGGCATTTTTAAAATAAAAATTCGACAAAAAAAGAACAAAGATTTATTTGGTGTTAATCCACATAGAGCGAAAATAGAGACTACTGAATTTGCACGAAGTCCTGATAATACAAGGACGATCAAATACGTATAAGGACAAAGCATTACGATCATTGTACTAGCACTAGGCCCGATCGTAATCTTAATCGAAATGCCTTAAAAAATGCGCGAATATAAAATGCGGCAGATTTTGGAGAAAAAAACCAGAGGTCATTATCGAAGAACCAAGAAACGGCTACAGAGAGAGAGAGAGAGAGAGGTGCGCAAACGTGGGGTGGCGCTTGGAGAATGGCAGCGTAGCCGCCGGCGGAGGCCGACGGAGAAACATTGTCGGTCGGAAGTAGAAGCCCTTGCCAATCTCGGGTGAAGCTTTTGATTCTTCATCGAGCTTCGTCACGCCCAAAATCAATCCGAGCTATCGGAAAGTCTCGAGCTTTAACGAGTTCCTGCCCTGCGTATGCACGCGCAGATCAGATGCGCGTAATCCGTCGCTGTTGAGCACTTGGAAATCAAGATCTTCTCGGCTCGTCGGGTAATTCATGCATTGCTCATGTTGTCTATTTGACTTCTCCTTGCGAGCTCGCCTTAAAAGGTGCTGTCTTTGGAATTGAGTTTCTTATCTGTTGAATTGCTACGACATTGATCGTGGTAAGCTAGCTGGTTTCTCTTCCTCGTTTCGGTCTTATATGCTTTCTTTTTTACACGAGTGTCGTGACCGATCAAGTATGCTTGTTTGATCCTGACATCAAGTTAGCACCTTTCCTGTTGGTTCTTACCAATGGCCAAAATTCGAGGACTACTTTTTTGTCCTTTCGGTTTTAGAACTGCCTCTTGTCCTTCCCCTCTGTTTACGCGAAAATGCCTGCTGATCACGGTATCAAAATTGGTTTTTTTTATATGTCTCTGACTTCAACCGGACTTCCAACTTTTGTTGCTGGGTAAAGAAAATTAATGGTACTTAGTTTAATTCTTGTTGCATCAGTTTCTCATGGTTGAGGGATTTCTCTGGTTATGCTGTGAGATAATGTCGAATTGTTGGGTCGTTATCGTCAGTGTCTGTGCTTAGGATGGTGTCCAATGAGTGAATATCTTGGCACCAATCCACAGATTTATCGTGTCGCATGATCTATATATTCTTCTTAGTTGTTGCTCTAAACTTCCTGCTCGGTTAGGACAGTTAGATCACCCTGCTTTTGAGTTACTTCTTTGTTTCTCATGAACCTGTATTTCTTAACAATTTCATTAACATTTCTTGTTTAACTGGTACTGCAATTAACAGGGGAAGTCGTACTGATTATGATGATGGCACTTATTCTTGCTTGAATTTCTGTATAAATACTCAGGGGTCATCATGCATTCCGGAAAGAAACTTGCTCAAAAAGAAGATGGCGACTCTTGCTTTTTGAAGGCAGAATCTGGATCTGAGGTTCTTGCCTCACTGATATTCAGAAATAGGAGAAGGAAAAAGCACAAACAGAAACTACAATCTCCTGTAAAAGCGAGAGGCTCAACCCTTGCGAAGAAGATGCCCAATAACTCTATCAGAAAGAGACTGGTATGTAGGAACAGCTCCGATAAAGAAAAACTCATAAATTTAAAAGTTTTTCGTCATAGGAAAATTGAAATAGTTCCCAAGAAGCTTTCATCCCCTCCATCTCTGGAAAGAGAGCCTGTACCTATTGCTTCTGACGAAAATGTGCAAAGCGCGAATGAGGATGTCAAAATTAAAAGGCTGAGAAGGAAGAGGAAGAAGAAAATAAGAAAGCATTTTTCGGATTTAGATGAAGCTTCACGATTGCAGAGGAGAACAAGATACCTTCTTATTAAAATGAAGCTGGAACAGAACCTTATTGATGCTTACTCTGGGGAAGGCTGGAAAGGTCAGAGGTATGTAACGTTATCATTGATCTTCAAATTCAGATTTTTCCATGAGACATGTGGATGTATACAAACATTAAAGATATTGAGATTGCATGATTCCGTGGCTATACTTCTGTTTTAGCATTACTGGCGCACTTCATGAATAAGTACTGCTTGTCTGTACACAAAATGAATAGTGAAGGGAGTTTGTGATATACTTTTGGACTTGTTTATCTTGATCACACAAGTTGGTGACTCTAAAGTAGCACTCAACGTCCTCCAGGTGCCTGCCCGCCCACCTTTTCTCTTTCCAACATTTTGAGAGTGCCTTGAGAATATATGTAGACTAGGTGACTGGACAAGAACACTTAATGCAGCAAATTTCTATATTCGAAGGATGTTGACTGGTGAATATGCAATTTGATCAGAGTTTTGGTTAGTTGTAGTTAAATGGTTAATTGCCTGACTCTTTACTGATATATCAGACCCTCGGGTACTTGCCTGTCTCCTCCTTGTTGCTTATTTACTAATGAGGAAGGGATAGCATGTTGCATGATGCAGCCAACACACAATGTGATGTTTCTGGGAGCACCATCTTATGGGAAAAAAAAGTAGCATGTCTCATTTCTTAATTTCTGTTACAGTCGGGAAAAGATCAAGCCAATAAAGGAATTACAAAGGGCCAGGAAGCAGATACTGAATTGCAAACTTGGAATACGTGATGCTATTCGACAGCTAGACTCCATGAGTTCAGTGGGCAGCATTGAAGACTCTGTGATTGCTCCTGATGGTTCTGTTCACCATGAACATGTAAGCTTGCTGCTGGTTCTGTTCATCACTAGTTGAAGCATTAATGCAAGCTTTTGGCTGTTTAGAGGATCTGGCTGCTGGAATATTTGCATTGGATATTTCTCGGTTGAACACGCTCTGATTTCATCAGTATTAACTACATTATCAATTCCTATATGCTCATGTGTTGTCACAATATCATCCAGATATTCTGTGCGAAATGCAAGACAAATGAAACTTTTCCAGATAATGACATCATACTCTGCGATGGGACATGCAATTGCGCTTTTCATCAAAAATGTCTTGATCCTCCACTGGAAACTGAAAGCAGTATGTTCTATTAGCCTTTTTCTTGCTATGGAATGCAATTGCTATTGAATGTCATGGACACCTTGTGAAAGTAACTGGTGCGATTTTCGTTTTACAGTTCCCCCAGGAGATCAGGGCTGGTTTTGCAGATTTTGCGAGTGTAAGATGGAAATTATAGAGTCAACAAATGCACATTTGGGGACCCACTTCTCTCTTGACAGCAATTGGCAGGTCACATACTGTTGATAGTAAGAGGTCAATTTTAGTCTTTTGGCTGCATAGTGGCTGAGGCAATGAAGAGGGTATTTGACTTAACAGGATATATTCGAGGAAGAAGCTGCATTGCCTGATGGGGGGATTCAGGTACTTGATCTAGACGAAAAGTGGCCTTCAGATGACTCTGAAGATGCTGACTATGACCCAGAAAAGATGACAAACACCGGCGTCAGCTGTGCTGGCAGTGATGATTCTCAATCATACGACTCAAGTAGCTCTACCAGCTTGAGTTGGTCATTAGATGGTGAAATTTTGTCAGGACCAACAATATCAGGCAAGGGAGGGTTTAGCTATCCTGAGGGCATTGCGGGGTCTGATGTATTAATGGACACGGACACTGTATGTGGCCCCCGACAGCGAAATGCTGTTGATTATAAGCAGCTCTATAATGTGAGCATTTGTTTTTCCAAACTCTACGATGGCTTAAAATTCAATATTATCATTTTTGGCAGCCTTGTTAATGAAAGCTTTTGTGTGGGTCTGGAAGATAATTTTGCTGTGACTATATTGGCTCACTACTCAACTGATCTTTAGTTACCTGCAAGTGGAGAATGCAACAGAGACCAGACCTAGTAAGAGAACAGTTTGTGATATAAATGAGTGCAAAAAATGGGGGGATGAGGGAACTTTCTAATTGGAGGAAAGAAAAACAAAGTGAACGCAACTTGCTTTAGCAAAAGTTCCAGCACTATATTTATTATGCCAAGTGAATGTAATTGTTATTTCTCCACAGGAAATGTTCGGTAAGGATACTCCTGCCTGTGAACAAGCCAGTGAAGATGAAGACTGGGGTCCTAATAAAAGAAGGAGAAGAGAAAGGGAAACAGATGCAGCCAGCACCCTCATAACTCTCTATGAAAGTGAGAAAAGCAATCCATTTGTTGACCAAGCCTCAGAAGGTGATAAGAAACTCTCTGCAGAAGCAAGAATGAGAAGGCGGATTTTCAGAATTCCTCCGATTGCAGTTGAGGTAGTAATGGTTTCAATTTAAGACTAAACAAGTGTCTCAACAAAGATGCTCTTCACGTTTCTTCATTATTCTTCCCAACTGTCCCTATATACTATACATACTTACTGTCTGCTTTCTAACTACTGCATCAGAAGCTTCGCCAAGTATTTGCAGAGAATGAACTTCCCTCAAGATCTGTCAAGGAAAATCTTGCTAAAGAGTTTGGTCTTGAACCTGAGAAGGTAATAGATAGACTGTAGTCAATAGTAAGATTGATGAAGCTAAATGTAGATTTGAGTCACCCTTGCAAATGCATTTGCATAAGACTATAGCTATTCCATAAAGGCGAGTTTGAAAATCCTTTAAACAAATGAGCAATAGCAGCGGCTTCACAAAATTAGGGTTTTTATACTTTTCTTGAAAACCTTATTGCTTGAGATTTGTATTACTGATTAATTTGGATGGGTGATGTATTGGACCTGAAGTTAGCCCATTCAATTTGTTTTGAAGATTGGCACTGAGAATCTATGTTTTGACAGAGAATTAGTAATTTGATTCTTTACATCCTTTCCTTATGCAACCGACAGTGACAACCCTTTAGTAACCACACTATAACAACTGTAGTAGTCTATCATAGCATTTGACCTGTAGGCTGAATCAAATTAGAATGTTAGGCATGAATATTCTATTTTCTGCATCTAGTCTCCTATTATAGTCGGCCATCTTTGGTTAGCAAGAGCTTGAAGAAAGAAAAAATCAATTTTCAACTGTCAAAAGTCTAGATAAAGAAGATTGGTCCCATTTTGTATGGTACACCGAATTATTCATGGTGGAGTTCACTGTATTGGAAACAAGAGTTGAAGATGGAGGGAGGGCACATAGTTTCTGCATCTAAGATATGATCTGTGTGCATCTTCAAATTGTCACATTTTATGGCTTTTTTTTATCAGGTTAGCAAATGGTTCAAGAATGCACGGTATATGGCGCTCAAAACAAGGAAGGTGAGCTGATTTGCAGTCATACTGCGTTGTCGATTTTTCCACGTTCTCTTAAGTTCTTAGTTTGGTTGCTTGGATCTATTTTATCACTCCGTAATATAGGCAAGAGATCAGTTCAGAATCTCTGTCGCCTTGTTCTTCAGTTGTCCAGCTGTAGAGCTTGATTAGTTGTCATAGGTGCATCTTAATGGTTTTCAGGATCTCTAATTATAAGTTAATTACTTCGCTTTATGTTTGATTTGTTCATTCCTTGTAAAATAGGCTGGGGGTGCTGATCAATCTCCAAAATCCCCGCAAATGCATGGAGAATCTGAACTAGCAAAAATGAAGAAAGGGACTGTTCCTCTTCTATCTAATGATGCCTCAACAGACATTGAGTTCCATTCCTCTCGAAATTCTGAGAAAGTCGTCCAGCAAGAGAGTACAAAGTCGCTACACAAGAAGGGTTCGCCTATGGTACCTGAACATAGCTATAAGGTACTCTCTCTCTCTTTGCCAGTGTGAAAAATCATTTTGGGATGTCCATAATTTGTAGCAGCTGCAATCTATTTTTGACCTAATATAGCTCGCAATTTGGTTATATGAACTTAAAATTATCAACCAACTTTTGGTTTCCTCCTTTTCTTTTTAGTCTTGTTCAGTTTATGTGCCTCGCTCGTCAGTTTTTTTCTTGATAACTGAAGGTACCATCTTCCAATGAGTTAAGGGTACCATGATTCCCAGACTAAAACTATGAAGCTGAATGCCAGGAACTATAAGTGCATTTACTTGTTCAGTAATGCTTCGGACAATAATTTCTTCATATGTAGTCCCTTGACTGTTACAGAACTCAGGCATGACTTTGCTGTATCAGGAGAATTTTGAGTTCGACGACAATATGTCCTTGAAACAAATAAAGCTATTGAAAGGAAAACCAAAGGACAGGAAGAGGGTTGACTTCGCAGCCAATGAGGGATTACGAGAAAGAGAAGCTCAGTTGCTGGAGCTATGTCAAATTAGAAGTAGGCTCGATAGTTTGAGGAAGAGAATGCTTACATTTCGGTCGAGTGAATCTAAGGCTTCAGAGGAATTGAACTTTTGTAGACCATGTGTAGTCTATGTTCCAGTAGCAGAACTAAAGGATAGAGCTTGATTTTTTTTGCACCCTTTAGTTCCTTGCTCTTTGTAAAAGCATTTTCAGTATATGCATGAGAGGGTTACATTGATCCAACTGTTATCATGTATTACTTGTTTACTGCAACCAATCCAAGTGTTAGTGCATAATAACCATATTGGTTCTATCGGAAACTTCCCTCAAATTTCAATTCTTTCTGGATTGATGGAATTCCACCATTCTCATTCAAATGTAGATGCACCATTAAACATCTGTCATTGAAATGCCAACATGATTCCCTATGATTAACGACATTTACGCATAAAGAGCTATTTCCATCTGTTTCTATCCGGTTAGCAATCAGTAAATTTGGAAATTGGCACCCCTCACTTATACAGTACACAGCACGTTATATTTGTCAAAGAATCAACAATAGCCGGGTTTGAAGTGTAGGCAGAGGCACCACCCGCTCTCAATCACATAAGCATCATGATGTGAGGTGTGTTGTGATTGCTGAATTAGCGCACAGATTTGCAAATGTCCAGACTCTGAGATTGCTATTTCTGATGCATGATCCCTGGCTGGCCATTTCCAGGATAATCCATTCTTGATTGGTGAAGTTAGGACCTTGTATGCTTGGGACTTAGCTATTTTATTACCGCAAGATGATTGTTATAACTGCCATTGTAGGTAACGAACACAATTAGCTATATGTTGTGAATCAAACCATAATTATAGTGGTACGTTATGTTGTATGCCTTTAGAATTTGGCAATGCATTTTATAGCATGAAAAGCACACCTATCTAACTGCATGCAATAGCCACCCCTCTGCTAATGCGAAATATTTTATTGACAAGGGTGTTGTTAGAAGTGCTTCAAATGCAATTCTAGCTACCACATTGATCCATCTATTTCTGTTTTTTAAATAGGCAATTATACATAAACTAGCATCACTATCAAGAAAATATAAGGAAAATATTAGGCTCACGTGAAGTTTTGTGTACCCATTTTCCATATATGAATGGATAGTCCAATAAGTAGATGGTTATCTATGTGAATTACTATGGAAAATCCCACAAAAAGTCCTAAACATTTTCCCGTCGGACACCAATACCTAAAAAATTGTTTTGCTTTTTTGTCTCATTGGGTGATCCAAAAAGTACATTTTGTCACTGTTCCTTCCATAATGGCCATTAGAGATCCAATGTAAAAGTATAAGTGGACAACATCATAAATGGGTAACCATAAAATCTCCCTCCCGAATCTTTAGTGATCCAAGATGTGTAGAGATTGAGCCACCACTGATGCTTACACTATATGGGACAAACTAGGGGTGTGCATGGTCCGGATGGGCGGTTCTACCACCTCGAACCGTGGATCGCCCAATATGACCGGTGCTCTCAAAATTCGGAACCGAGAACCGCTCGTTTGCCCCATGGACCTGCCCGGAGAATCCGACCGCTCCTGGCCCGCGGTCCGGTCCGGTTCTTGGCGGGTTTATGGAACCGGTCTTAACAAGTTTTCCTAGACAAATAAAAAAAAAAAAAATCATGACCAACATCGGATCAACGAGTAACAAAAGAAAAAGAACATAATTTTTCATACAATTCCTACACTATGATCGATTATATTAATCACATCATCCATAAATCAAGTAGGTACCCATTAATTATTGGGAAAAATGACCAAGGTATCCCAACTACACAAGAGCTTCAGACATGATAACAAATTTTCTTTCTTTTTTAAATTTTTTTTGGTCGATTTTTTAATTAAAAATTAAATAAAAAATATATATTATTATTATATTACGGTCCGGTCGGGTGGGCGGTTCCACACCCTGAACCGGCCCAAAGCAGTACCGGTTCCAAAATTGGAACCGGGAATCGGACTGTTCCCTTTGGGAACCACCGGCTCCGTCCGGCTTCCGGCGTTCCTGGTCCGGTTCGGGCGGGTCCCGGCCCTTTTGCACACCCCTATGGGACAAACTTCATTATTGATTGAGCTCTCACATAATGCTACTCCTCATTGAATCAAATTAAAAACCAAATCTCCAAGTGGAAGCTAATTCGATTCTGCTTGCCCAATATTGCCCCATTTTGATTCTTCAAAAGGGCACAACAAAAAGGAAATGACATGCAAATTGGATGTCATTGTTTTATCCTCAAAGAATGAGAGACAAACATCATCTTTCCTTGGACCTCATTCTTTGCGATCTCGTTTTGAGCAGATTTGAGAGATGTGCATAGTCATGTCAAATTCGTCGACTCGACGTTATCCACACATGCCACCACATCGAATTTTTAACAACCATTATAACTGGTATTGTGGCGAAATCATTTTTGGGTTACTAAGTACAAATTTAGGGTATTGGTGAGGTGAAAAAATTTTGGGCTGTTGGTATTCCTATAGGAAAAAAATTAGGATTCTTTTTTTTAGATTTTCCATATTAATAACTTTTATTAATGAAAGAATCAATTAATGTAACGCTAAATTTAACTTAATTGATTTATATTGTCAATATTTTTAATGTCGTCCATACAAAAAAAAATTTAAAAGTCATGATTATGAATTCGATCCAGAAACATTAATTCTTTTATTTCGAAATGTTTTGGGATACAAGATGACGGAAAATTACCACTATAACTCAAACATTATATAGTTGTTAAGTTCTAGATACTAAGAATTAAATCAAAACGAAGTAAGCAACTAGATTTTAGTGTTATTGAACCTTACATAAAAAAAAAAAAAATTGACCCAAAATAAAATCTTACATAAAAATAAACTGTTTAAAAAGATTAATAAAAAATAAATAAAGTATTCTTCTTTTTTTTTTTTTTGGTCGGGAAAAAAATAAAGTATTCGAGTACCACCAACCCAAGTACTCTCTCGTCGCCAGTCGTCACTTCCTCTCCGACAGAATCAACTTTTTCAGCCGGGCGAGTGTCAATGGCGTTGGCGGTTGGAGCTTCCTACCTCTCTCCCGTTATCCTCAAACCCCGACCCGCTTCCGCCACCGCCGTCGCCTGCAGCGGCGGCAACCACGCGCTCGAGGCCGCGCTCGTGCGGCGCGCCGCCGAGCTCGCCGACAAGTCCGCCGGATTCACCTCTCCGCACCCGAATGTCGGTTGCTTGGTGGCGAGCGGCGGCGGCGGGGGCGAGGGCGGGGACGTGGTGGGCGAGGGGTACTTGTACGCTCAGGGGACGAAGCCCGCCGAGGTCCAGGCCGTCGAGGCCGCCGGCGAACGCTGCAGAGGCGGCACCGCGTTTCTTAACCTGGAGCCCGGTGATTGCCATGGTGATCATACCGCTGTTTCCGCTCTTGTCCAGGTTTGCCAATTGCCCGCCTTTTTATCTTTACCTTGTGATGTTGTTGATTTTGCTACATTGGTAGAGTGTTCACATTTCCACTGAGGCCTTGATCATAATCTGAGTATATATAGTGGATATTTTGAAATTTAAGTTGAGATATTATATGACTTACTTCATTCAAGAAATTCTCAAGGGGGGTGGAGTTATCTTGGCTCTTGATATTTGAGGAAGCAAAAGGACACTGTTTCTGTAGCATTAAGCGTTTGCTTTTATTTTCTTGTGAGTTATGAATGCGATGTAGGAGACAGGATTGATCGACACGGTTTTGAAAATTAGGCAGGTATTACAAGAGTAGTTATTGGGATGAGGCATCCCCTACAGCATCTACGGGGCAATGCTATACGCGAATTAAGAGGTCAGGGACTGCAGGTCGATGTTTTTGGGGAGGATCTACAGAGTAAAATCATCGAGGTTCTCTCCCCCCCTCTCTCTTGTACATAGTGTTCCAATTTCTGTGCCCTTCAAGGCTTCAATAGCATTGCTAAAAAAAATCTTCAGCTGCTCCAGCCTCTGTTCAGACCTGATATGATTTGATGTTGCTGTCCTTATAATTCACATTCAACTATCTTCTCTGATGATAATTATCCTTATATCAAATGTTTCCTTCTATAGTAAGGGAAAATCATGTTTTTAGACTGTTTTTGGGTCCCCTAACTGGTGACTTCACTGGCATAATGTTGCAAAGACAAGGTCGTTGAATGCGTAAAACCGTGCTTCTTGGTGCTTTTATGCTGCTAGTGAAACCATGTTCTCTCCACTACAGTTCTGTCTTTTCAAAGCTAATATTTAGCATATTGAGGAGAGAAGTATATCGATAGAATTAATCTGAAGATATGTTAGAACAATGGTGTTGAATACGTAAGTTGTGGTGGTGAAATGCTAGATTGAAGCTAGGTAGTTACCTTACCTGCAGCCAGTACGCTATCGGTAGTTGTCAAGAAAGGTAACTGGGTACGCTAGTAGTGGAAAATCTCATACATCAGTGTTATGCTTAGTCAGTTGGCTAGTTGGTGTCATTCCATCATTATGCAGGTAGAAGCATTTGTATGCATCATTCTGCTGTGACATGGACATTAAATTGTTTTCTAAGTTGCTTTTATTTCGAAGTTACAAATAAAAGACAAGTGTGATTAAAATATGATCTAAGTTAATGTTGGAATAACTTGTCCAAGCTATTTTCTACGATTGTAAGAGCTTTAAGTTAAACTATTTCAACTTTAGATTCGGCTGGGGAAATCTCTAAAATAATATTTATATTTTTGCTCTCCAAATTTAGCTATGAGCGAGTATTGCTCCCATTTTGAATTTGGGATGTATAGTGCAAATTGGGACAGCATAGCCTTATTGAGGATTATGACAGGGTCAGTGCTGCCAGTAACTATTGACCTGTCTGGTTGCAGAAAATTTTTGCACTTCACCCTTGTTTGAAAGTGGTTTCTCGCAAAATTCATATGCTGTCTTGCATATCTTACAATTCAGGATCATTTGGTGCAGGAAGCTCAAAAAGCATGCCGCATTGTCAATGCTCCTTTGGTTTACAGAGCTGCTTCTCGAGTTCCATTTTCTGTTCTTAAGTATGCCATGACCCTTGACGGTAAGGTTTTTAGTTTTGGCAGCAACCATTATCTTTATTCTTGTCTAGCAGTTGTTAAAACTACCTGAGGTTGTCAACTTGGAAATGCTGATTGTTTTCCTTAGATGTATGCAGGAAAGATAGCTGCCAGTAGCGGACATGCTGCATGGATAAGTAGCAAAAAGTCTAGGAGTAGAGTTTTTGAGCTGAGAGGTAGGAGTGATGCAATTGTTGTGGGAGGAAATACTGCACGTAGGGACAGTGAGTATCATCAGCTTTCGGACTGTGAATTTTTCAGTCTTTCGATAGTTATTTACTTCTTTTAACGCTCTTTCTCTTTGAAACAGATCCACGCCTAACTGCTAGGCATGGCGGTGGTCACCTGCCCATGCGCATTGTGATGACGCAGACTCTTGATCTTCCTGAAGAAGCAAACCTTTGGGACATCTCCGAAGTATCCACTATAGTTGTAACCCAAAGAGGTGCCAGGAAGAGTTTCCAAAGATATCTAGCATCCAAAGGGGTTGAAGTTGTTGAGTTTGATATTTTGAATCCAAGAGATGTGATGGAGTATTTCTATGATCGCGGTTACCTTTCAATTTTGTGGGAGTGTGGTGGGACGTTGGCTGCATCTGCCATTTCATCTGGCGTGATACACAAGGTATCTGACCTTTTCTTTGACAATGGGTACAAGCAACTTTGTGTTCTTGATTTAGTAAATAGTTATAAATTACACGGGACTATTAATTCACATTACTTCTTGTTGAAAGATTGAATTGTGACGGTGAACCAATAATTTATAAGATTTCCGAGGTTTGACTCATTAAAACTACCTTGACTAATGCAAAACAATTCCTGAATGTTAAAATAAACATCCCTTACCATCTATAAAAGTTTGGAATGAAAGTTTGATACTCTCGCTCACAATGATAGCACTAGTTTTAACATGGAGCAAGGTTACACAATTATTGTGAGGTAGACTCCACTAATATTTTTTGGTATGCTTGGTGCTATCTAAGCCTCTAGAGTCCCTCAGGATGTGTTTCAATTTATTTTCTTCTACTTCAGCGGGTTTTCTACTGTTTTAGAGGAAGCTCTATTTGGTAACAGATCAGTTGAATGTTGGCTGGTAGCTGATTTTGACAGATGCTGCAAAAACCGCTTAAAAAACATTTATAATGTGATACCATTGAGTTATGTTGGCTTTCTTAATAGATTATGTCCCATTCAGATTGCTCATGTGTTTTGTCCCATGCAGGTTTATGCATTTGTCGCTCCTAAAATTATTGGTGGAAAAAATGCACCATCACCTGTGGGTGAACTTGGGATGGTAGAAATGACTCAAGCCTTAGATCTGATTGATGTTTGCTATGAGCAGGTAAATTAGGAGTCATATGCCAACAATATCTTAGTTTTACTTTTCCATATACTATCGAAAAATAATTGTAGCATGACAAGGCGCTTGTTATAGTAATTGTACTCATGTCACTCATCTGTCTCCTGGAGTGTAACTTACATTATTTGTTAATCTTAGCCCTTCTGCATATTACCGGCCATCTGACTTTATGGTGGTTTTACTGCGGGCCCTTGGCTACCACAGATAAAGCCAGATATAATGAATCTTTCTGCGAAATTGCACATGCTAATAGAAGTATATGAAAAACTAATGATAAGGCTCTTTGCACGTTGACAGTACATTTGAAATGACCAGGTTAGAGAGGTGTCCAGATGCTTACTAGAACATGTTGATTTCTTATCGACCAAGGAAATTCATTCAGAATTTGTTTGATCCATCTTGGCTGGCTTCTCTCTCTCTCCGAACTAATGGCTCCTGGTAGTTACTTTAATAGGTTGGACCTGATATGCTGGTGAGTGGATTTCTTCAGCCCATACCTGACCTAACACCTGTTATACCATCAGTGGACGAGACTTCTGCCATTGATCCCACAGTTACACTCTACGATTCGAGCATCATATTCTTCTATAAGACATGGGATCCTTATGGAGCTTTCTCAAATTTTTCTCCTCATCCGATTCAAATGCTGGATGAAAATGGTAATTATGCAACTTGGTCAACTGTGGAGCACTACTACCAGGTAACTAGTTATCCTACTTTTTGCCTTAAAATTACCTTCTAAATCAAATGGCATGCATAATCTGCCAGGACTTTCCAATCGCAGGCACACAAGTTTGTTGGAGTTGACAATTCTCTTGCACGAGCATGTGTTGAAGACATAAAATCTGCGAAAAGTCCAGAGGAGGCAGCGAGAATGGGAAGGTCTTTGCAGAGGCAGCACCCCGATCTGGTAAATCCTCAATTTCTCTATTTCAGATGGCTTTCATTCTTCATGCTCAAGCCTATTAATCATCAGCCACCCATTTTTTTTAAATTGAAGAAAACATATGATTTCACTTTTTTTTACAAACTCAGAATATTTATGTCAAAATAGTTGCATGGTTTTATGGACCCTCTACTTTGGCTTTTGTTATGTACTTGTGATTAGCAGCTGATCTTCTAAGGAGTGAACTATTTACATTCTGCTTGAAGATGAGAAAACATAAAAGCCGGTTGATCCATTTGTCTTTCAATTTTCGTCCTCATTGGAAAATAACTGTTATGTATTGTAAAGGCCCATAAGCTACCAAAGCATGAAAATGGTTATTGAAGTGACTAAATTGTAAAAGCATCAATGCAGGTGAGATCTGACTGGGAGAGTGTGAAGATTGATGTAATGTATAGAGCCTTGAAGAGCAAGTTCTCAATTTACCCCCACTTGAATAACATGCTTCTCTCAACTGCTGGTTCCGTTCTTGTTGAAGCCTCACCGCATGACCACTTCTGGGGTGGAGGAAGGGAAGGGGAAGGATTAAATTATTTGGGCAGGCTATTAATGCAGTTGAGATCTGAGTTTCTTGGTGAGTCCTCTACTACCAGCGTAAGCTCCATTTTAGCTGCATAACATCTATGCTTGTTGAGAATTGACAAAATGGTGGAGCATTTCTTGTTCCCGCTTGAGTTGTCCAAATATGTTGGAAAATCAATTGGACACATAGCTGCAAAGTTCTGTGGTCAAGAGGGCTGTTAATCTTTATCATGCAAGTATGAAGATTCATATGATCTTGCATTTGATTTCAATTATGTTCCTCTCCTTGTTCATCATGATGTGATCGGAAATGCTCAATTCTTGTATCTGGAAGGGAAGCAAAGCACTTGATTTATCAATCTAAAATGTAGAAAAGAAATCTTTTCAACTCTTTAAGGTGCAACATTGGAAATTGGACCAAAAGGTCGGTAACTGACTCTTTTCGCATATTGCGCTTCTGTACATGTTTCAGTTGAAAGTCTAACTTCAAACCAAATACTGGTCAGATCATTATATTTGCGTTATTTGCATTAATGGATGTCAGATTGCTGAATGTGGAGCTGGTGACTGTGTCGTCTTATTAAATTAAATAATTCCATAACCTTAAGTGCAACTGAAACAGCAGCACGGATGGTTACTCTGCTAATTTCAGAGATCTGACATGATGGGAACCCTCGAAACGAATAGTGACAAATAGCACAGCGTTTAGCATTTACACCTAAAATTCAAAAGGAGCAAATGTCTGACTTCGGAATTGAAGTACACGATCAAGATTCTGGATATATTATATTTGGCGAGATCACCTTGTTCTGTTATATGCTCAATCAAGATCACCGTGCTCATTCGATGATGCGACTGGTTTATTATCCACTCCTATATCTTTTTCCTCTCTTTTTCTCTAATATTTTCAAATCTCACAGTGTTGGTCATATTAATGGTGATTAATTGACTATGACCAAGATACATGACACCGATCAATTGTTTTATCTTACTCAACATGCTTAATCTTTTGGGATAATGACACAAACAGTGTGCAATGTGGTCGCTGAACTTTTGATTTGTTCAATGTAGTCTCTGAACTTTAGCCTAATGTTCAATATAGTCCCTTAACTTTTTAACATGTTCAATGTAGTCCCCGGATTTTTTATACATGTTCAATGTGGTCCCTAAATTATATGAAAATGTTCAATATAGTCCATGAACTTGAATTTTCATTTAGTTCAGGGACTAAATAAGTTTAGGGACTAAATTGAACATGTACCAAAAGTTCAAGGATCACATTAAACAAATTAAAATTTCAGGGACCACAATGCACATTGGGTTAAAGTTTAGGGATCATATTGAACAAATTAAAGAGAGTAGAGAATCATGGGCAGGTAGTACTTTGTAAATTGAAACTGTTCTCTTGCATGAGTCGTTTATTTAAATATCTTCTTACATAGAAATTAGGATGCCTTCGTTTTACTTTTTTGCCTAATTGGATGCCTTTCTATAAGTAACAAACATTTACGTTATCTTTCTATAGTAAAGAATGTGAATAGTTAAATTAAGCAAATCCTATGAAAGAAATTTTTCTTAGAATGGTATAACCTGACTTCTGAGGACTTCAGAATTCAAAATACGATAATGAGTCGGAGGACTTGCTGAAACCTCTCAATGGATGAGTGACACTCAACATTACACTCAATCATTGGAGGGTCACCATGAACTTAGTAACAAACAAAAGTCGTGTAAGAACTTAACAGGATAAGTGAATTAGTGCGACGCTTGAAGCAGATAAACAGCTAGTTCTTAAAAGAAGACATTTGAAGCTTAATGTGCTTAATCGAACACCTTAAGCCAAGCCATAAGTATGATGCATAAAACGTTGATTGGATTAAATAACTGGAGGATGCTCTTGCTTAGATATGACGTTGGTCATTGAAATATGTAGAAGAAAAGTAATTACAGCACACATGCAACGATAGAGAACTTTTGTTCTCCAAGTTAACTATCGAAAGGTCAAAGATTGACCTGCACTGTCTGATTGCATGTTATACTTCTTAAGTTTAAGGAAGAAATAGATTGCTCAAGACTGAAGCCACGAAGCTAGTGCTAAGAGTATCCTCTAAACAATTTAAAATCTCCTTATCTACTTGCTTATTTTCAAGATCTTACTGGTCAGCTTGGTTACTCAGAACTTTCAATTATTTAGAACTCCAGACTTTAGAGTTTAATTTAATGAATGACATACTCTTTTAGTCAATCTCTTGTTAATGTTTTGTCCTATTACCGAGTTGTTGCTATCAGAGGAATAATTTTCGAGCTAAAGACCTTAGAAAGTGCTAGGGATGTCATTTGTGTACTGACTTGGGATTTCCAAGCTTTTGAAGCATGGAGCTGTGGCTGAAAAAGTATGTCTTCCAGCACTCTCCATACTGACGATATATAGTTGGTTCAGATGGTCTCCAAGACACTTCTTGTATTTATGCATTTTGTCCCATCAGATATTGTAGAGTGCCCTAAATTATGTTTATACTTGGGGAAAGGTTACATGAGGTGTGTTTTATTTGGTTTGGAGGATCTGTAGAGATCATTTCATGATCTTCCTGGAAGAATGACCTTTTGATTTTGGGAATCTTGCATGGCTAACATTATCTGTTACATCAATGCTAACATAGGTACCTAGACAATAGTATGCTATTGGTCATGATTTACGACACGCAGTTTTTGAAACAGGTTAATAATCATTAAGAAAGTGGTACATGGAGGGTAGGATTTTACTAATTTCATAGTGTCTCTTTATTAAGAATTCATGTAAATTATGTCAAATATCAAACGAACTTTGGCATCGGCCATGCAAGTGATTTCCTTTGATTCCAAATGGTGAAGTTATGTTAGCGTTGCATTGTTTTTAGTTTTAGAAGAATCGCGATTTACTAGTTAGATTATAGGACAATCATATCATTAGTTACAATTCACTTTCAAACATAATAGTTTGGTTGTGCCAATCTTGACATTATGAGGCATAAATATTTACAAGTCGAGACTACGTGCTTAGATTATGCTTTGTGAGCGATACTAAGCTGCCTGTAACTAGACTGTGAAGTCGTCTCTTGAAATGCAATGAGAACTCCCCCTGGGAGATGTAGTTGATTGGAATGTTAACTGGTGCATACATATTTCAACTCTGAGGGTAGATACTTTGACATTTGAACCAGCATTATCAATTGACCACGGTCACTAATCAAATGTCATTTTGTTTACCCTCATCATTGTACTTGGGTTTTCTGTACATCCTGTCTAGAGGATGATTAAACTTGCCATTTGTCCTTGAATAATTGGTTCTCGAGATTTTCAGCCGGCCTAACTGAGAGTTGTCAAGCCTTGGTTGATTTTTGCTTTATCATGTGATGCTGGAGATAAACATGATAACAATAACAACATCAACTTGTGCATAAAAGGATCAAATCACATGAAGTCCTTCTGGTGTGTACTTATCCAAAATCTAAGGCTGTGAGATTTCCATCTCATTGACTTGCAGATAAGGTGTTGTCCTCATGTTGTGAATTCACCATTGACTCTTTTGTGGCCAGAAACATATGGTTAAGAATTCGCTACGCCTCTCCTAAGTATTAAGCCGTATTTTTACACTCGAATATAAATTCACAAGTCGATGTGTTAGCCTCGAACAGTTTAGTTACTAATCAGAACAAATTGCGGTTGCACCATTACCAATCTCGCGCGAGAAGTGCAGTGGAATCAAGTATCGTCGAAATTTAGGACGAACCTTATTCAATGAGTTCATCTGCCAGTATTGAAATTCTTGGGGATATTCTGAGATCTGCATATGTTATTTCTCACCAGTTTTAAGTGCGAATGCTATGCCTACAGAGCGTGCAACTATGAGATGCGTGTGCGACTAGAAATGCCCCCGAGACAATTGTGGTCTGAATTGATTGGCGGAGAAAACATAAAAGAAAACGAAAGCAGAAGGCGGTTGTCAAGTGTTGGGTCGCATCTCTCGAATGCTTTTCAAGAGAACAACAGGATGGCATTTTCACTGGAGATATTTCTGGATATTTTGAAAGCAAATATCTTTGAAAAAAAAGAGTACCTAAAATTCTGGAAAGTGCATAAAGAGCCTGCCGCGTGGCATTCATAAACAAGACAACGGGAACGCGTTTATCAGGGTAAGCTTAACAGCTTTTGAAGAAAAATTTCGCCTGTTGTAGTTTATCGCAGATCCTGCCATTCGATTAGTTGTTCATCAGCTCAGAAATAATTTTCGCAAACATAAGTAGCATCATCTTCTTCTTAAATAAGTAACCATTATATATTTTTTTCTGTAAAAATTAGGAGGTAACCAAAGCCTTCTGAAGGCCCTTTTAGCTAAAATTGAAATTGAAAGGTAAAATGACATAAATGGTCTATGAATTTTGGTTCATTGTGTAATATCATCCTTAAATTTTTAATTTGTTCAACGTGGTTCTTGAACTTTGATATAATATTCAATACAATCTCTAACATTTTAAATAGTTTCATTTATTCTAGGAACTACATTGAATATTTAGCGGTGTTTAATGTGGTCTTTGCTAATTTCTCTTTTTTGCTTTTGTTAGAGGGTTTGGATGAGATTAGCACCAACCAAGACCAATTGCCAATGTGGCAAACCCATCACCACAACCCTATCATGTGCAAATGGAGAAACCCAAAATCGACAATAAAGATTTCATGTATTTAAGTTTTAAGGTGCTTACAAGTTGTAGTATAAACAACATAGAAAAAAGAAATAAGGAACAAAAATACCAAAACTTTCTTTTTAGGTTTCGAAACACGTTAAGCAAAAGAAATCATCTGCATATAAAGGGACCATGATACATAATCTCACCAGTCATTTTATTAGCTAGCAAGATGAGCCTCATATATACATATAAGATAGCAACAGGCAGTTTTGACTTTAGAAGCACATCAATTTACAAATATCATTTCGGGGATAAATACACACAAGACACTTCCTCCATAGAAACAAAAAAGGGGCAAAAAAGAAAAGCACGGAGAATGGAGAGGAGATAAGGACCGGGGGTGATCGAATGGTTTATAATATGAATTTCTAATCAGGAGCTACTGAACCCCAAAAGCCCAACGTATGATTGTCAGATGCCACACAAAACATGGCAAAAGACACCAAAAAGCTTTCAAATCATCACCCCTTCTCTCTCCTCCTATGACCATCCAAAAAACGCCTCATCCTCCTCCTAGAAACACGTGAAATCCTGCAAATTTTAAAAGAATCCGAAAACAAAGAAGGAAAGAGCAGTCCACGTCAGCCCTAGGAGAAATCAGAGCTGGCCAGTGAGGTTTCGCCATGTCATCAGATAAGAGGACTTTTGCCGGTAAGTTTTTTTTAGGAGAGAGAGAGAGAGAAAGAAAGAGCGGGGGTCCGGTCCCTGCAGGTGGTATGGGGGGCATTCCCTAGAAAAGATCCAATGATCCACGCCCATGATTAGGATGACGTTCCCTCCCAAGTACTCTGCTTTGCTGCCTTATCTCATGATATTGTAATCGAATCTAAGTCCCAAATCCTCATTTTTCTGTTCTTTTTCTTTTGTTCGTTGTAGAATATTTTTTGGGTTCGAGTGACTTCTTAGAGATGTTCTGATGATTTTGAAATAGTTGTCAACGCCCGTCGCTGTGGGCTTTACATTCCTCCTCACGGCATCAGAAGATCGTCGCAGTTCTGGACTCCTAAACCCCCAGATTGGCAAGATTTCAGAATTCTCTCTATCCCTCTTTTGGACAGACGTTTTTTGGCACAAACATGAAGTAAAAAAACTGAGTTATTAGCAGAATTCAGGGAAAAGAAAAGTGGGGTGTCGAGAACTAAAAAATCACGTCTCGAGATAAATTCAGATGCTTCAAGGGGGTAATAGAAGAGAAGCATAATCTTTGTCCTTACAATTTCAAATGATACTTGATCGCCCAGTGGCGAAAAGAAAGTTGGAAAAGAGGTCAATCTAGGAAACGAGGAAGATTGAGAAATAATTGAGGTGCTAAGCACTGTGAAATGGGGGATAGAGAGAGCTTTTACAGGGTGGTCCTCACAGAGCAGAGCTGATAATGAGTCTTGTCCCTTCCCCTGTTTCTCCCTCTCTCTTAACTCAAACAACCATACGCTTGCCTATGCTCCTCCCATTCCCTTCTCTAACACACTCTCTGGAGAGAGAGAGAGAGTAGGTCACGGGGAGGACCAAAAGGGACACGTTGAAAGATCTGGAGATATAACAGATGCACAATGGCATGCACACTCTGTCTCTTGTCTGTCTCTGCCCCTCTCTCTCTGCGCTAAATTTTAACCGTGGCACGCTCAGAGTCTTTGATTCCCTCATTGGATAACTTTCCTTTCTGAGATATTTCTAAATTCTAATTCCTCTTGGTGTTTTTGTCTAAACCCGTCTGCCTTGAGTCCACAAAGCTCAGATATATAACTGGGTTTTCCTAGGGTTTTGTGACTCTCCCTCTTTTGAGTGTGTCCCCAAAGTACAAGAAGAGCTAGCTCTCTCTGGTCATTACGTACTCATTCAGATGCCGAGTCTTCCAAACATTAGATTCTCCCGATGGCCTTTTGAGTTCATTTTAGAGCTGAATCACCCTCTGAGTGTGGGCTTTCACTACACAGTTCTCTAATAGAGTAGGAGTTCTTTCGGCAAGAGCTTCGGTAACAAGGTTTTTGGTTCTTGCACTCTATGAATTCTTTCGAATCTTTTCCTCTCGAATTCTGAGTAAAGGCGAACCCTTTCTTAGTAACCATTTCCGCAAATTGGTTCTGCGAATCTCCTTCCGAATTCGCTCATCTACACAAAATTTTTCTGAAAGCTTTTGCTGTCCCAGACAATCAAGTATTCCCGCAATTGGTTGATTTTCTGGTAAGAACTTGATTTATAGTCCGACTGAATTTAGTCTTCTTGACCCATTGCACTGATTCCTGCTCAAGTCGGTAGTCTTTTCCTTAGTTAAAATTCCTTCTAGAATAATGTCTTCGTGTCTAAGCGGAGGCAGCAGAACTTATGCACTCGATCTTGACATCATCACATCCCCAGCAACATCGACCCGAACTTCGCAAACATCGTCATCACCATGTTCAACAATCTCCGAATCGAGCAACTCACCGCTTGCCATCTGCACCCGGAAGCCCCGGACACAGAGAAAGCGTCCCAACCAAACGTACAATGAAGCTGCTGCTTTACTTTCCACAGTCTATCCAAACATATTCTCCACCAAACATCCGACAAACCAAGCGCGTGAATCCGCGAAATCCCATCAAATCCTCGCCGATGAATCCTCGGAACTGTTGCTTCCTTTCAGAGTCGTGGACGATGATTCTGGTTGTGGGTACTTGCTCCCGCATCACCAGCCAAAGCAAGACAAGTGCTTTTCCCAAATCGAGCTAAAATTTGTGCCTTCCTGCGAAAAGCCCTGCCAAAGCCCAGGGGAGAACGAAATCCAATCCAAGGGCTCGGATTTGGATGTCCGCTGGGAAGGGTTCCAAGAAGATTTCGATGCTGAATCCATCTTGGACGAAGAGATCGAGGAAGGGATCATCGACAGCATCATGGGAAATCTCAGCGTCGACACCAATGTGTCCCATCGAACGTTGTACAGCGACCCGATTTGTCGGAATCAAGCGCCTTCAGGATTCGGAATCAGAGGAGGAGTGAGCGCGTGGAGAGCCGTTAGCGAAGCGAACTGGTGGAACTTCCCCACCGTCGACGTCCTCGAGATATCTCCGAAGCTCAACCGGAGCTCCAATGCGGCGGGGGAGAAGAAGAAGAAGAGGAGCAAGGTCGAGAAGAACGCGGTCGAATCCAAGGATACGGGGGAGTCGCCGAAAGAGGACCCGGCTCCGAAGCCGACGACGGCCGGGTTGCTGTTGAAGCTGAACTACGACGAGGTGGTCGACGCCTGGTCCGGCAAGGGTTCGCCGTTCCCCGACGAGTCCGACGGCGCCGGCAATGACGTATCTGTACGTTCTCTCTAAACCCTCTCGCCTGCAAAATGCTTTCTGTTTTCTGCTTAAGACGAGGCTCATTAGTTGACGAATCCAATAATGTTCGCGCTAGAGCTAACTCGCAGGTTGCAGTTTAGTTCGTTAACCGGTGGCGCGTAGCGATAACCGTGCTTTGGGCTTCATGAAAATTATATATATATATATATTTTAAAACCCTGATTCTAATACATAATTGTTAATTGCTAACAAAAGAAAGTGTCGTACATGATTCCAAGTACAACTAGAAAGTTTCAGGTTTTTGCTTAAGGGTGGGACCAGCTATGCAAGAATATTGTCTGTGGGATCCGGCTTCACTGTTATTAGACTCTCGTTTTTGTTTTATATGGGCCCGCTAAAGAGATTGGGGTGAAACCGGAAAGTACCACGTCCGAAGTTCGATCCCGTGAGCACCATACACATATATACATAGAAGAGAGGAGAGGAGTGAGACTTTCGTTTTTGTTTAGTAGCTCCGAGCTAATCAAAGCTTCATTGTCAAATTACCAAAAAAAAAATCATTTTTGAGAAAAGTTTACTCTGTTACATGGCTGATTTGGGTTAATCAAATGTACGATGAATATGCTATTTGATTCTGAGCTATGAATTTCTTTCCTTGGTATCCTTTTCTACAGTATCCACCATTAGATTTCTCCTGTTACAAGTTTTTTGTATTGACCCTTCTGTCTGTTTTGGCTCGATATCTTCCATGTAACTAACAGGCGAGGTTGGCCCAGATTGATTTATTCTCGGAGAGTGGAGGAGTGAGAGAAGCGAGCGTTCAGCGCTACAAGGAGAAGCGGCGTACTCGCCTCTTCTCCAAGAAGATTAGGTACCAAGTTAGAAAAGTTAATGCGGATCAAAGGCCCAGAATGAAGGTATATCTTCTTCTCAGCTCCAAGACATATATGACCTAATTATCTCTTGATTGTCTGCATTTGATTCGAGAGTAATTAGGTAAATTTGGTCCGGGTCCTCCTCATCAAGCACATTCTTCCTTTCGAGAGAGAATATTTGCTTAGATTATCAAATCCATAACCTAACACAATAACGAAACTTATGGCTGAACAAGAAAACTCTTCTTCTACCCTAAGATTTCGATCCAGGTGTAGAACTAGAAGCTGCATCGAATCGGTCGGAAAGTGCAAAAGCTTTTTACCCTTTTCATTTTTGGCTAAGTTTCTCACTGTTCAAAGACAGACGCAGAAACAGAGGTAGATCTGCTTCTGCAAAAGACTTGAGTCCTTAAGTAAACAGATAAGACATTGTCGTTTGCCAGCAGAGGTACTGTCCTAAAAGAGGATGCTTCTCTGACCACGTTATGTTCATCATTTTTTGCAGGGTCGATTTGTGAGAAGACCAAGTTCGAGCACATCCGCGTCGAAGATGAAAGGATGACGACCCTATAGGCTATACCAGTGCTTACAGATAAATAGAAGATTACAAAGATGGTTCTCATCGGTTTCGTTTTTCTATATCATTTTGTTTTTGTAGTCTCGAGATGACCTTTTTTATCGGGCTTTGTCATGATTTTTACGGGAAAAATAAAACCTTTCCATAGGAAACAAGCTTTTACAGAGATCGTTGAACAGCAGCTAATGCTATAGAGAAGAGCATAGGGATCCCTCTCTGCTTACCGAGGCTCGTCTTCCATCATCTGTTCTTTCACTTCATTTTTCTTGTTTTATATTTTTGCTTTGTCCATAGCCGATCATGGGTTGTGTGAGTCATGACCACGTTCGATGTCATTTGAAATTCGAAATAAATTAGTGGATTTGAAGACCGTATGCTTTTCAAACAACAATTGCTGATCTAAGGAGTCACGCCCCGAAAAAGACGAACTAAATTGTTAAAACACACAATTACCGAATTCAAAAAGAATAAATACCCGAACTGATCAAGATAATTCACGACAATTGAGAGTAATAAGATAAATGCAATGTTTCGGTTAAAAAGAAAGGGGTGAGAAAAGAAACAATATTCTCATTTGTTAAATCTAATAAATCACAGAGCATTCCAAAGATAAAATGATAATTGGGAAATCTAAATTTACAAACTAATAATTCGATTATCATGATCAAAGCTAAGTTGACATATCATAGTAATTCAAACCGAAGGCCATTATTGAAGTTTCTAGTAGATTTAGAGTAATTGAACAACGTAAAAATCGAGTACAAACCTTTGCATTTAGTAGTTTCATGGTCATAAGACCCGATGAGAATGGTCATGTAAACTGAAAAATGAAAAAGAAGAAGATAATATCATTTTACTTTGGGCCAAAAGCCACTAAAAACCGTAAATTATTCCCACTGTGGATCTTCGTCTCAAACTTTTTTTTAGTGATTTCAAAATTTCCAAACTTATATCTCCGTGACACATTTACCCTTCGTCAAAGCCTTGTTAATGTGAACTATTAAAAATCCGCCTACATGGAAATCATTTAACGAAATCTTGACAGAGAATAAATGTATCACGTAGTCACGAGTTCAGGATTTTTTATGTCACAAGAAAAAGTTTAGGCAAATATGTCAAGGTAAATTTATTGCAGTGGGCATAGTTTGAGATTTTTTTGCGGTTTTGCGTGAATTAAACAATGCCAAAGTAAACATATACTCAAACATGAAAAGCGCAGACGATATTTCCCTGCCCGTCGTTGATGGGAGAGTCAAAAGAGGCCGAAAACTCCAGGCGGCTTGCGACACGGCAGACAAACGTCCACGAGGTCTTATCTTCTCAGGAACCGTCCGTTCAGTCGGGTATACGCCCGAAACTAGAAGCACGCTCTTCACTGTTTTGAAAGCAAGAAGGAGACAGAGAGATGCCAACCTTGAACCTGTACACCAACGTGCCGGTCGACACGGTCGTCGCCTCTGACATTCTCAAGGACGCAACCAAAGCTGTCGCTAAGATCATCGGCAAGCCTGAGTCTGTTAAGTGTTGTTTTATTTATTTTTTACATTCTCATTAACACCTCAATGCTTGTGGATGATGTCCTATTTGCACTGCTCTCACGCTGTTCGACGATATTTCTATGTGGGCAACCGGCGCGAAAGACTTCATTTTGATACTCGCAATGGGGCTTTGTACTGATTTGGAGACATGGGTCGGGTTCTGTTTGTTGTGCAGTACGTCATGATACTGTTGAATGGGTCCGTGCCCATTGCATTTGCTGGTACTGAGGCACCGGCTGCTTATGGTGAACTGATATCCATTGGAGGCCTTGGACCCAGCGTCAACGGCAAGTTGAGTTCCACCATTGCAGAGATACTCGAGACTAAGCTTTCCATTGACTGCTCCCGGTTTTACATCAAGTTTTATGATGTTCAGGTTAGTTCATATCGTTCTGCTCACTGAAAATGATGTCTACATTGTTCTATTTGGTTTTGCTTCTCTGTTTGCACCTCAAGTTTCCATCTGAACCATTACTGAATATCATGCAATGTTGTCTTGGCGACAAGTAGAACATTCATGCATGCAATCAATACTCCACATGCATACATACATCAGAGATATCAAAATTTTCCATTACAGTTTGCTTGGAGTCAATCTTGTCATACAACAGTGAGTTGGCTTGCTAGTTAGTATAGGGTGAACTGAAGGGACTGTCCCTTAATATACTCATGACCGTGGGACTGGAATTTTGGCGGGCAGAACTCATGAATCTCAGCCCCTGGCGATGGAGGTTATTTTTGAAACCCGTTTCAGGAAGAAAGATTGAACGAATGTGCTCTTATCTTGCTGTTGCTACAATATCGTTCTGTTGGTCTGATAAAACAAATTATTTCCTGCCAGAAGTCCAAGCTTATTGGTGACTAGAGATTCTGCACCTCTATTCCTTCTTGAATCACTCCCACAGCGTCGTTAATCTCTTGCCAAACTAACAGGTCTAGGCACAACCATTGAATTTGCTGTGTCCGCGGATGGAACTTGGACATATTTATCTCTTGCCAAATCCTGCTTGGATTATTCTTTTACCAATTGCTCTGGCAAAGAAGTTCTGGTAAAGAGAGTTATGATTTCTAGAGCTAGCGATGTGGCGTACACATTTGCTTGCATGTGCCAAAAGAAGGTATTGACTAGAGATTATGTAACTTGAGGAAGAGGGTGCAAAAAAGGGGAGAGGAAAGTCAGTAAGTTAGGTGGTTTCGGAAGTGAGGTGGTTTTATGAAAGCAAATTTTGAAGGTTCGAACATCACTAGCAAATTTCTGGGGAGTAAATTTATACAAACAACTTTTGCTTCAGGTTAATGAGTCATAAAAAGAAAGATTCCTAATTTCATGGTTTTGAGTTAAAACGCGCACGTACACAGACAATGATTTTTGTTATGCTTTGCGGAGACAGATTCCTCTCCATCTTCTTTACCCGTAGCTAACATATTATATTTGCTTATGTCCAGAGATCATTTTTTGGATTCAACGGTTCAACTTTTTGACCAGCAACATCTGTAAGAGACCCCTGGAATGGTCGATGCTTTGTGCATAAGCTCACTATTAGAAATACTTCTGTTGTATCACCCCATTTGGAGATACCATCACAAACTGCTCACTTGTACCTGCATTGAAGCAACTATAAAGTACATTCATGTCGTAAATTTTGAATATCCTTCTTCCTATTTTCTTCTTGTTTCAGGGGTCTTTCCCTTTGAATTGTTATAAGGCATTATTGTTCAGGCTCCCATGCAAATATGAATTTTAAGTTTAAAGAGCAGCCGATAGCCAATTGTGCTCTAAGTTGAGTTCCCGGGTTACTTGGGACCCTGGTTATGAACGTGGTCATGCGATCTCTTAACCTATATTGTAGCTGAGAGGTATACTAAAACGTATTGCGCTTGTATATTTTCCCCCTCCGGTTAACAGCCATTTAAGGATCTCTTTGATCAGAGGAGCATGCCTTAGATATGACACATCCGGTGGATTAATCTATGATTAGACGTCCCGTAATCCTAAAGCGGTGCAAGGCAAATCCATTTCTTGCAGCACGTATAACTACTTGCTTAATACAAGCCATAACAATGATAAAGTGACTTGTGTGAAAATAGAATGGCAAAGCTATAAAAGTCCAAGAAAGGTTACACTTTCTTTCTTGAGGCCTGGACGAGAACGTTTTGAGAAAAATTGGGCGGATAACGTTTCTAGTAGCACTATCTACTCGTTCATGGAGTCAAGTCAATTTTCCAAACTTGATGGTTGTGTGATCCAATTGAAATGAAATTGCACTCGCAAGCAAGCCACAAGGATGATAGATGATAAAAAACATAAAATATCATACAAACTAAAGAATTCATAAACCAATCGCACTCAGCAATGTTATTATCCGAAAACAGAAGTTTCCTCTCAAATCTTCATCATTAAGCATGTGAAGAAGCCGTCTTCTTGTTTTTATTGCTCAGTTGAAGAAGCTGTTTGGCCTCCATCTCCATCTCCACCGGCTTCTAAGATGAACATGATACCATTTACTAATCACCAAAAAACTGGGCTAGCGTTGGAATGAGATCGAATATGAGCCAGTGTTTGGATCTTTAACAGCTTTGAAGTTGTCAGTGCTCATCCCAAATCTGCCCAACACGGAGTTCCCCATGTCTTTCAGCTTCGCTGCAGAGAACATAGGATCCAGCACATTTAGTTTTTCAGCAACAGAAGAGAACACTAACTCATGGCAATATCAGTTAACAGACCTGATACTTCACCAGACATATTACCTAGAGCATGGAAAAATTCTCTGTATAGACATCACGAGTTTAAAAGAAAGATGTTTCTGGTTCTTTTAAGTGGATATCACCATATAAAACAAGATGATTACTCAGTAATTGATTGAAGGCAAATAAAGTTGATGTCTGCGAGGTTATTCATCCAACTCACCAATCATTTCTTCCTTCATCTTTTCTCTTTTTTCTGCAGCAAGTGGCTCCAAGCGGACAATGGCCTTCTTAGCCTGGTTGTTTGAAGGGTCCATTTCCAAAATCTTTTTGTTATCTGCAAACCATTATGAAAACAAGTGCAGAAAGATGTAAAGACAAAGTTGGACAACACACAAGCACTATCTACAGTTCAACCAAGGGTAGACGCTGGTTATCAGAAGTTGAAGACGCCACCGCTTCACACGAGGAGCTAGGGACTAGAACAGGTGGTGGTCACAAATGTTCATTCCTTGACAGAATAGATAAATTACCACAGCAAATAATGCATAGAAAACTCTAGCATCTTATATTCTTGCAGGTTCCTTGCATAACAAACCCTCAAACAATCAATATGCTTGACCAAATCCACTCCGTTACCAACATTCTATGCCAACAAGAGAATCAGAGGAAGCATGAACAACAAATGTTTATTACTGCATGATGAAGATAGCCAATTAACATTTGAATTGAAGATAGCTGTGGAACATTGACACTCTATTATGCAGAAGAGTGACGCAGAATTGATCATCTCGAATTTATGCCTACCAGCTAGAGCTTCTTCGTAATTTTCTAGCTTCTCGTGAGCTTCACTTCTTCTGACCAATGCTTTCATATATGTAGGGTTCAATTCTAATGCTTTGTTGCATTCCTTGATTGTATCTTCATACTTACCCTGAAACACATAGAAGAAAATTAAAGGCTATAAAAGCGAAAAAATGGAACACATTAGGCTTAGATTGCTCCATCAAAAATATTCAGAAGAATCTCGATCAAGGACAGTAACAATCTCATTAAAAGTTGTAGCATCTTATTGCTAATTAAGTTCGGATTCTGTTGCTTTAGGAGTGCATCCACATGCTTGCAAATTCTCTTTTCACCAGTTTGACAGCAGGCAGGCTGCTTCTCAAATGAAATTCTTTTCCTTCTCATTCAAAGATTGAAACGAATGACAAAGTGTCATATTAATCACTAAAGGTGCATACCATTTTCAATAAACATATCGCACGGTTTCCATGACATATAGATCTTATTTCCACGGATGCAGGAATGTCTGGAGCAACCTTTAAGGCGAGCTCATACTTTAACAATGCCTCCTCATATTGACTATTGGCAAACAGTTTGTTACCTTCCAACTTTGCTTCATTTGCTTGTGCTAAGGCAATCTGCTTTGAAAAGGAAAAACGTCATTTATTAAGAGAAGAAAAAGTTTGTGTCACAGAGAGAGAGAGAGAGAGAGAGAGAGTTCATAATTTGCAAGAAGATAATGTTAATACATTCATTTCATTCTTTATTTCTCCTTTGCTTTGGGAGGGAGGTGGAATTATGGTACTGAACCACATTATCTGATAGAAGATCATTATGGTCCCCTAAATCCATTACTGACATATATAAACAATGCTATTTATTTATCTCTACAGGAAACATTATAACATTATGAAGACCAAATGCAGCGTAGAAGTCTTGAGATAATTAGAGAAACTCAGATGCTTGCAAGTTGCTATACTACTAGTAAAATTTCTCTGCACGTGAAGAGAGTACCCTTCATATCTGCCTTCAGATAACCTAAAACTGTGATTACAGAAACCAACCTAAACAGCATGATTTTTGAAAATGCACTAGGCTATTACCTCAGTCTACTCTCGTAAGATGTTCTGAACAAATTTTGACAAAGTTGGAAAATGTACACCAACAGCCCAATAAGATGATAAAGAATCTGTGCAAGCAAAGTTCAGGGAAGGTAAAATGATGAGGAGAATGTGCCGACGTAAAAAGGAACCGAAGCCCTTCACATTACAATTGCTTTTTCTGAGTTCATCCGCTCTCTATCAATCTTTGAAGAAGTACAGCCTAGTTAATAGAACTAGCGGACTTCTTGCAAGTATAATGCTCATGTCTGACACTAGTATAAGCACCCATCACTGGCTTGCCTTATCACAAGAGGTGGGAAAATATTCCATCATCCAAAAGGACCCAAATCCAATGAGGAAGCTGCAAAATTCTCAAAATCATGGCTTAGTTACCAAACTCAAACTCAACGCAGCGCCGACACAGTTCACGTCTAGTCGTTCAATCAAAAGACAAACTCGCCCAGGTTGATGAAGGATCAACCAGACGACATCCTATAGAGGGAAAACTCCCAACTCGAATAAATGAATCGATTACACAAACGACGAAACCGAGAAGAATACAAGCATGAGCAAACTAATGGCAGATTCGCAAGCTGCACGTACACGCGGAACGACGGACTGACCTGATTCGACTCATCGTCCGCGGCAACAATTTGAGAATCGTCCTTTGGAGACGTCGACTGTTCCACCGCAGCATCGTTCCCTTCTCGTGGTTCCTGGTGTTGATTCAGGTCAACGCCGCCGCCGCCGCTGCCGTCACCAGCGGCATCGTCGGCGTCGGCGTCGGCGTCGACGTCGCCTTCGCTGGCGGTCTCGAAGCCGTCGGAGTCCCCATTAACCGTCGAATGGCTAGCGGATGCTTTTGCAGCATCCGAAGTTTTCTCGGCGACCTCCTTCTCGGGTTCGGGTTCGATCACCACCATTTTCTTCTCCGGCTCGATTTGATCGCAGTTTGGGAGGAGCTTTGATCAGTTGCTTTCTTCTCCTGCGACGTTTCCAGAATCCCTGGTTTAACGTGGTTTTTGGCCCTTTCCAGTGTCGGGCCAACTCGAAGAACTCGTGATTTTACTTTAAGCAGAGTCCTCAACGAAAAATTAATCTTATTTGTTATAAAGTACAAAAACAAAAAATAACTTTTGTAAATTTTGATGTATTTAAAGGTATTCCTAAATAAGAATTGCATATGAATTAAAAATCAAAAAGGAAAGGTTTCCAATTTGCAACAGGAAAATAAAGTTATAATAAAAGAAATAGGTGACTAGTTCTTCTACACGTGTTTTGAAAAATTGTAAGCAATATTCGAAAGATATTGAGGGATAATAAAAGTCGATTTCAAAGTATTTTTGGAGGAAATGAGGAGGGAGGGGAAATGCTCACCTAGCCCATCAAATAAAAAAGTAGATAAATAAGCAGCAAAAAGTACATTTAATATGTTAACTCGGCTCACCAATTATTTACTCATGCTATGGCAACTAAGGTAAAGAAAAATATCAAAATTACGTAACTTTTTCATGTGTCATTTATGTGATTAAATCTCCACGCTAATTGTACGTAACATCTGCTAAGGAACTGTCTAAAAAGACTCACACAATAAGTAGCAGTGTTGCATTTCAATGAAATTTCACAAAAGAGCAAATTTCAAGATGCAATTCTCCTTTCATTCGATAAAAGATGTCGAAGTTAGTTTATTATTACCAATAACGCGTCCATTTCTGATGACATAAATAATTTCGCATCCTCTGTCTATAAATAAATCACTTTAGAATTAGCCAATTATAATTTCCAAGACAGATGGATCAATCCATTTCCTCTCATGTTGCCCCGACCCGGACCGTCGCCGATCCGGCTGGCATCGGCCCGGTCCATTCTCAGCTCGCGTGCTCCGGAAGTTTTTTCCCCTTTGGCGGTTAATAAAACTCGAATCAATCCCAAATCCCACACACAACACAGTAACACACCACACCGCTCGATCGATACGCCGACGAAACCTTGCGTAAGCAGCGCTCTCCGGCGAGGCTCTCCTCGTCGCCGTCGAGGATGTCCGGCGACACCAAATTCAGCGTCCTCGCCAGCCTCTTCAGCTGGATGCAGAGGAGCAAGTCCTCCGCTCAGAAGCGCTCCAAGTTCCGGAAGCTCCTCGACACCTACTGCAGGCCCAGCGACTACTTCACCGCCATCCGGTTGATCCTGCCCTCGCTCGATCGCGAGCGCGGCACCTACGGCCTCAAGGAGTCCGTCCTCGCCACCTGCCTCGTCGACGCCCTCGGCATGTCCCGGGACTCCGAGGACGCTCTCCGCCTCTTCAACTGGCGCCGCGGGGGCCCCAAGTCCGGCGCCAATGCTGGCAATTTCGCTCTCGTCGCCGCCGAGGTATGGCGTCTTGGACTTATCAGAGACCGTAATGATCGCTCGTTGTTATATAGGTTAGGTCGTCATACGAGAGTTAACACGTGATTTTGGTCTTTGATTTTGAGAGGGAATAATTGCTGCCATTCGAGCTCTCATTGTGGGCATGTGTTGAGATTTGAAATGATTTTGGTATATTGGCCATTTCTTAGGGAGTTGGAGAGTATTCTGTTGGTGTTTTTACTTGCTTCATGAGAAACGTTGAAGTATAAACTACCATTGCTGTAGGAAGTTGGAGAGTATTCTGTTGGTGTTTTTACTTGCTTCATTAGTCCTTTGATTGACGTGACGAGTCCGATGAAGGTGAACATGCTTTTGAATATAGGTTTTATCACTTAAGCGGCAGAATTATTGCTTATGCCGATTGTTGTTCTGGATTTAATTTCCTTGGGGATTCTGGCAATGTCATTGGCATCAAAATGGATCTCTGAGGTCGACATTAATTATTTTATTTTATTTTTTTCAATTTTTTCTTTGGACTAGGTGCTGCAGCGTCGGCAAGGAATGGCATCTGGGGGCCTAACCATTAAGGAATTAAATGATTTGCTTGACCATTTGGCATCAAGTGAAAACAGGCAGGCTACTTTCTCATTGCTGTTCCCTGTGAAAATTGTACTCTCAAGTTTTTTTTATTGTATTCTACTCTTTAGATGCTTTTGCAGCTTCTATTTTCGATTAAAATGTCTGTCTCAAGGCATAAAGTTCCTCATCCTCATTTAGTTGATATACAGTAATATGTTCATTTGATTTTACGCCTTTGGTGCGCTATACTGGTATTTACACTTGTGTGCCTCGTCCTTCTAAAATATTCTAAACAGGGCAGAAAAGACTTCAGTTCTTTCTACTTTAATAAAGAAGACAAATGCCCAGGAGATGAAGTGGATTATCATGATAATTCTTAAAGGTGTTGCCTCGTTACTCAGTTTTTTATTAGAGTCTTTGCATTCCACTCATTAGTCATTTCTGTTTATTTATCTCTCTGCAGATCTGAAGTTGGGCATCAGTGAAAAGAGCATATTCCACGAATTTCATCCAGATGCTGAGGATATGTTCAATGTCACGTGTGATTTGAAATTGGTCTGTGAGAAGCTTAGAGATCGTGGCCAACGGCATAAGCGCCAGGTTTGCTGCTTGGAAAACTTCCCCCAGCTTATATTGGAGAACTCATAGTGCTCGACAATTGATCTTTTTATTTTTGTAAAGGACATCTTTGGAATCTGTTGTGGAATTTGGAAATTTCTCTGCTGGTAACATGTGCCCATAAATACTGGACATGTTTCTGTTCCTGTTCTGCGTATGTGCAGCTCTGTTCGACAATTAAAAGCGAGTAGATTCTATGTGCTTTAGTTTTGCTATAGCCTTTTTCTAGATTCCGATATAATATGTTGGTATGCATGACACGTGCTATATGACGAGAGATTTAAAATATCCTCTTCAACTAGAATTGGGAACCATAACTAGCCGAGTAAACCCACGAGAGGACTAGTCTTGTTCTTGTGAGTGCTTTTTGATCTAATAGATGTCTTGAAAGAATTTATCTTAACATGTGATGTGATAGTTGTGTTCTTAGGTCTGCTCATTGGTTTTGTGAGCCTTGACATATGGTACTTCATGTATGCATTTTATGGCGTAGAGTGGGGATAAGATTGCTCTAAATTTATGGAGTTTTGAAGTTGTAAGTAGCATGCATGTTGTTTTCTACCTGTAGATGAAGGCTAAAGGGTGGTTCCCAAGGAAAAAAAGAATGTTTTGCTGTATATCTTGCAAGGATTTCGAGCAATTCTTATTTTGTTGAAGGAAAGGGGGTAACCCCGGTGAAATGGCTTGTCGTATGTGATATCCAATTTATGAGTGTATAGGATGGGGACATTGGCATGGATTTGGTATTGCAGCATTTAGGCTGCTTATATTTGATATGGCAATGTTGGGGGCCTTAAAAATCTTCCGTTTAAATTGTTTCAGTTGGGCTATGTACTGAAAGGAGTAGTAGAAATGGCTTGATTGAACCCAAATGAATATTTATCTTTTGATTATGTGTTAAATTGTTTAGTTAGGGTCCTCTCTGGGTTGCCCAAAATGTATTTTTTGGTACTTTATGTTTTTCATTTGCTTAGAATTGGAAGCTTTTACGTTTACCAATGCCTCCCCTATCATGTTTGGCTTATAATCTCAGTTATCTACAACTCTCACTGGGACTCAATTTTCAGGACATAGAAGTTGGCAAAGCTGTTCGTCCTCAACTTGCAATGAGAATTGGCAGTGCAGCTGCTGCATGGAAAAAGGCCTGACATCTTACTCTTGCTGCTGAAATTTATGATGGATTGAGCCTTTTGTGTGTGTTTCATTTTCTAAACTTCTGCTGTCAGCTTTCTTTGGTTGATAGTGTTTCATTTGGAGCTTTTCTGGCCTAGTCAATGATATTATTCTCTGTCAGTTAATTGATAAGGGCTTGACCTAGTGGTGGTCAACCCTTGCCAAGACTTGATGAGGTCTTGGGTTCGCTTCCTATCTTCCAGTTTTGCATTTGCTTATTAAAAGTCAAAACAAAGAAAGGAAATCAGATGTTAATTTCTGTTGCGGTTATTTGTTTTTTTAATTTAAAGCTGCTCTACTGAATTAACAGATTTATTTCTTGCTTATTAGAATTTGCTTTTTTCGATTTAAAATTTTCTTTGTTCTTTTATCAGTTGGCTTCAAGATTGGATGTTTTGTAGATATGGATGTCTGTTACATGCCTTTCTTATTGACTTAGAATTTCCATTATACACAGCTTCATGGAAAGGAGGTGGTTGTTGAATGCAAATTTGACGGTGACCGCATCCAAGTTCACAAGAATGGATCTGAGATACATTTTTTCTCCAGGTAAGCTTACACATAACACTTGTTATCACAGAGACACGAGGACAATAACATACATGCATTCAGTTAGCCTAGAGTACTAGACCCAAAGAGAAATAGAATAAGGAATTTGACTTTGTCTATAATGGCACGTCTTTAAGGCAGCGTGTCTTTACCTTGATGTTCATTTTGGTAATGCATTCTCTACTTCCTCACGATGCATGCAAATGGTGCATTATGTGCAGGAATTTTCTGGATCACACGGAATATGGACCAGGAATGTCGGACATCATAATCAATAATATTGTGGTCAACAGGTAAGCAGTGTTTAGGATTTACTAAAGTGTGTACTTTCCACATTGAGGTAGCTCTTTTTCCTTTCACCTGTTTTCTTTTTTGGCTACAAAATGGAAAGAACTAGGTTCTTGTATATTGATCTGATTGATGCGCTAGTAGTGATGCTAGTCTTTTGTGGGTTGTCATTTTCTCTCCTCAATTAGCATGCAGATTTTATTCTGACTGGACAGAGTTAAACCTAATTGATGCAGAAGTAGTGCTGGTAGAATATGTGCAGTGATCACTTCTAGCTGGATGGTAATTTTAAGTCTGTTGCATGATAAGTGCCAAAAGCTTCTGCTGCTCCCAGGTCTTACTAATGATACCATTGTCCCCTTATTAATGTTAGGATGCGTGCCCCACATTTAATTATCGACATTCGTCTTTACATATTTCTGGAAGGATGTATAGACATCTAGTTTGATGGATTTAATGAGCCTGAGCTGGAATGGTCTTTACATATTTATCCTGTGCTCAGATGCATCCTTGATGGTGAGATGCTGGTTTGGGACAAGTCTACGAATCGTTTTGCCGAGTTTGGTTCAAATCAGGAAATAGGTTTCCCTCTATGATCTTAATATCATCTCAAAATGTTTGTCGAATTGTGGTGTTTACATCGTGGGGAGAGCATCTTTGTTTCTTTATTAAGTGAAGTTCATTCTTGTCTTTCTACAGCAAAGGCAGCAAGGGATGGGCTTGCCAGTGATAGACAGGTTTAACTTGTCGAATGTGCTCACTTCTTGTGTTGCTTAACTGTCCTTATTTTTAATAAATTTTCCCTTGTGAATGCAGTTGTGCTGTATCCTTTGGGTGACTTGGCCGATATCTCGGATCTTTTTATTTGGTTTTCATGGGTAGAATGTGCCAAGTATACTGACAGTATTAAACACGTCTAATGAATCATGTGTAAGTACACTGTCGTAGTCAGATTTTACTATTATACCATTATAACTATAACAATGAAGCTCTTTTAACTCACTTAAGCTGCCTCTTTTTTCCCTTTCTCACTGTGATTTCCATTTTATTTTAAGCATCTTTTTGTTGATTTGGTGAAATTTATGTTTGTTTTTGTGTGTAATGTAGTGGTAAGACTTAATACTGAGAATTTGCAAGAACAAACCATGGTGTAGTGATTTCCCGTAACATTTGACATTTGTAGTCACTACTTACTTGCCCCATGGGCACCTGTCATCATGGCTAAAATCACTGGACAGCATTATAATACACGGAAGTGCTAAAGAAAATGCCTCTTCCGTCGTTTTCACCCATCTGGAAGTTATGTCCTTAAGATGACATTGCTTACCAACGTCATGTGACCTAGAGCAGTCAGGGAGAGGGAGGGAGGGAGGCAGGGTCATCCTCTTACAGACTTCAGTATGTTGTGGTGATAATCACAAGTCGTCCTGTTAATCTTGAACAAGCACTATGTAACTTACAAACCACTCGACTGAACTTAAAAGCAATGATAACACTTGTTGTCCATATCTTTCTCTATCATGATACTACTATTAGCGAGGGTAAGCGGACCAATGAATTGGAATATTAGTTTTCTATATGACAGCTTCTAATAAAGAGATAGAAGGATTTTTTGTCAAGGGGTGATAAATATTTCCTTATGCTAATCTGCATTTCTTGGACAATTGTAGTCATGTAAAGGACATTTTCATATGCCATGACGTCATCAAACTATTATTATCCGCTTACCGACGGATTGTTCTCACCTTTTAATCACCCTCTAATTACGATTGTTCTATTTCTAGTAAGATTGACTTTTTACACACTATTATTGTTGAAAGTTCAAGACCAAGAGTGTTGGTCCCTCATACCGAATTATCAGTCCAAATCCAAAAGAAGACCATATGTTTTGTTCTTCTTAACATCACCATGACCAGATGTTGCGTTTGACATCCTGTATGCTGGGGATACCAGTGTTATCCACCAAACCTTGAAGGAAAGACATGAGCTTCTCCGGAAAGTTGTGAAGCCTTTTAAGGGTCATTTGGAGATCTTGGTACCTGATGATGGCCTCAACAGTCACCGTCCTCCTGGTAAGAAATAGATCTGACATTCTTGTTCACATTCCGACGAGTGTAAATTCTTGTCAACTGCAGTTCTCATGTTTGGCTTTCAGGGGAGCCTTGTTGGTCTCTTATTGCTCATACTATGGATGATGTCGAGAGGTTTTTCAAAGAAACAATCGAGAACAGGTGAACGTTTAGTTGTCTTCTCCATTAACTTTGGGCCACAAACAAGGCTTTCCTTTAAATACGCTTTGATATTTGAAAAGTATGTTTTTTTTGTCTCTCATAAGCTCATGGCGTGTAAATTGTCTAACTCTAACCACTATTGAATAATTACAAATTTACATTCGCGGAAATTGCATGTGATTTGTTGTCCTGGGTTTCTTCTTCATGAAGCCTAAAAGGTGGCATTGGTTGTAATATGTTTGCGGGGATCAAGTTCTTTCATTTTAATAGAGCCTGAAAAGGGGGCACTTGTTGTAAGGCTTTAGTAATGGGGATCAAGAAAACTTAAGTAACGCATTAGCAGTGTGGGATAGGAAACTTTGGTGATTAGCAGACTGTAGAGGTTTAGAAGACGAGAGACCTGGCTCTTGCAAAATCCCTTCCTTTTAACAACTTTATTAATTGTGAAGGGATGTAACTGGTTTTTTCTATAGGTTTTGAAGATGAGTATGTCAATCTAGTCGACCTTCAATATCACATAAGGAATAATGTGGAATTTTCTGATTAGTAACTGAATTTATTATTATAGAGAATCTGTTCTAGCACATCAGAAATATTCAAGAATAGAGAATAAAGTGAAGACAAACTGCACTAAACAATGGTACAGAGACTAGAGCGCGTATCCTGTATATGCTTATAAATAGCAAAAAACAGGAGAATAGAATTTGATGCTCAAACAATCTTCTCTTCCTTTCTTTCCAAAAGCACCGCATAAGGCCTAAGGATATCTTATGATGGGTGTCTCACTATTGTTTGATTTGGCATAAGAATTCCAATAAAAACATCACATGACGAGTGTGGCACCATCTTTTGACTTACTTTAAAAGACTGTAATATATGGTCTAGATTTGTTTATCTAATTAAAGTACTTCTGGATTTTAGAGATGAAGGAATTATCTTGAAAGATCTTAGTTCCAAATGGGAGCCAGGTGATCGGAGTGGAAAGTGGTTAAAGCTGAAGCCAGATTATATTCGTGCTAGTACAGACTTGGATGTTCTTATCATAGGTAAAATTTGTTCGGCTAAAACTTTTCTGTTTGGTTCATCACATCCTATTGTTTTTATTGTATATTCACGTCTCATGCCCTGATAGGAGGATACTATGGATCTGGGCGTCGTGGAGGGGAGGTCAGTTGTTAATTTAGTGCAAAGTTCATTAATTTTTGTCACTTTCTATGATGTATCTCAGTTAAGAATAACATATGGATTCTACTGATATGCAGGTGGCTCAATTTTTGGTTGGTCTTGCTGAGTGTGCACCTGCAAACACATATCCTAGACGGTACTTTTTAGTCGCTAACTTGCATTAGCCGTATCCTTCCCTATGTAATAAATTTCATGTAGCCTCGGCAACCAATTAAATTTTCACCGGTGTTGCTGGATGTAGTTTTCATTTCTGAATGAAAAGCCCGATTAAGTTTGCTTGAAGGATAATGGACAATTTGATTCTTGTAATGGGGTGGCATGTTCTTCTTGGCACCTAAAAATTGAGATTTTACTGCATTCAGAGGAAAAAGGTGCAGAGATGATGAATGAGTGTAGCCATGATGAATGAGCCACATACATATCTTGTCCGATAAACATGCCTGTAATTGAGTTATTTGAAGGCATTTAGTATATGAGCTACCTGTGTGAATAGCATACTTTGTGATGTGTCAATTTTTGTTCTGTCATCTTTTCTATCATGCCATTCTCTTCCTAAATAGTTATAAAATTGGAGCATTGATAGAAGAATTCGGCAATATTCGTTTGTGCTATTTGATAGTGTAACGGTATAGATGTTATACATTATAAAACAGATTGAGTGTATGAATAATTTCATACGTTGAACTTGTTGCAGATTCATTTCCTTTTGTAGAGTGGGTACCGGACTGTCTGATGAGGAACTCGAAGCTGTTGTCACCAAATTAGAGCCATACTTTAGGTACAGACTCCATTTTATCTGATCAGGTAGATGTTACAGGAGGACATTGCTCTGGCATTTTTCTTTACTAACCTGCATGATGAAATAATAGTGACAAAGCAACATAGATGTCCATTTTCAGATCTCTTTCTTTAATTACTAGCTTTTTTTGGTCGCATTAGCTTTTATGATAATATTGTCCAGGTTAATTTTTTTTAATCATCAATTTTATTTGTCTTAATGCATTAAAGAGATACTAATGACAGAACTGTTGGTGCCAAGGAGCAAATTGTCTTACAAAATGAAGCTGATAAGCCAATTTTGTACTGTGCATACCAACAGATTTTTCTCTCTTTTGTTTTCTATAGAGAATAAAAGTGGATTGATCTCAATTTTCTCTTCAGGAAATATGAATTTCCTAAGAAGTCACCACCAAGTTTTTTTGAAGTGACAAACCATTCAAAGGAAAGGCCAGATGTCTGGGTTGAGAGTCCTGAGAAGTTAGTCATTCTACTACTCTAAATAGCGTGCATGTTATGTGTTCTCATGTATCAGCACACGTGTGCATGGGCATGGCATAACTATTACTTTTGAGTTTGTTCGATAGTAAAAGTGTTCTTATCTTTTTTAGTTGATATTTGTGTATATTTTTCTTTGTTACAGATCCATTATACTTTCTATAACCAGTGACATCCGGACTATAAATTCCGAGGTTTGTACTTATACGTTTATTACATTTCTGTAATTAGGCCAAATATCTCTGGACTGAAAGTTACCTTCTGTGCTTTTTGCCATATCAGCTGCTTGCTTGCTCTTATTTGATTTGATCTTTGTTCAGTTTCATGGATGTAGGTGTTTGCTGCTCCATACAGTCTAAGATTTCCACGAATTGACAGAGTTAGATGGGATAAGGCTTGGCATGAGTGTCTTGATGTCCAATGTAAGAAATCTCATATATGCCAACGTGTGTTTTTTCCTATCCATTTTCATATCCGATCTAAATCTTCTACTCAAGAGAAAAGAATTAGCTGAATTTGGTGTTCTTCTCTCCCCTTGTGGCTGCAGCTTTTGTGGAACTGGTACATTCAAGCAATGGTACCACACATGGGGGAATGGATTACAAAGGCCAGCTGGCAAGTGGGCCAAAGCGTAAGAGGTCTTCTGATAAAGTAAAGGGAGAGAAAAGGAACTTGACCGTTGTCCCTTCTCATTTCGTGCGAACTGACATTTCTGGCCTTAAAGGGGAAACTCAGATATTTTCAAGTTTGATGTTCTGTATCCTTTCTAAGCTGGTTTTCTGTTTCTTCTCTCAGTTGGTGGTATGATGTAAGTGCTCCCTTATCCTGGTGGAAGAGGGTAGTGGTTTTGGAGTTCTAAGCACACTCCCTTATGCACTTCTACCTCAACAGTAGTTGTTTTGGTATTAAAAAAAAGAAAAATTTGATTCATGAATTGATATGTTAATTTTGTCAACGACAAAGGGAAAGGAATCCATTAGTCGGATCCAGTTGCATACATTGAGTCAAGTAAGCTTAACTTTTTTGTCAGTATCATTATTTACTTATGCATAGCTAATGTAAAATGTTCTAAGTAACACTGAGTTTGGTTTAGAATATCTTCGATCATGGCAAACATGCTTATGTCTTGAATAGTAAACGAGTTTCTTTGTTGAGATACTGCTTATTTGTTCCTTTTTAGCATATAATGCACCTGTGGATAGGATATTGTCAAATGACCCAATTTGATTCTCGAGTTTGACGCAGGATAGGGGTATTCCTCAATTATTTTGTAGACTGTTGGACAATGATATAAATGGTAATGTAATACATGAATATTGTATGTGGTAGATAATTTTCTAACAGTATTTTTGGAGAAAAAGATAAAGACGTGGGATGGAATATCACTTTTGGAAAAGATTTCATGTGTTCATATTACCATACTTTCTGATTTTCTCAGTAGTCTGAAGATACTCTCATAATACAATCGCTGTGAGTTAATTTAATTGTTTGGTTCATTTTGTTTTGTTGAATCTTGATATAACCAGGAGGCATGGACTGATTCAGTTTGTTCGCCTTTATTGCACTAGATTCTGACAACTATGCCTGCAACTTGGAAGTCCAACTGTATAGGGGAGATAATCGAGTTGTTAACATGTTGCGTATACCAGCTCCAATCCACTGTTTTTGTTGTCCCTCATGTGAAATGCACCTTGTTTCTCTTTGCTTAACAATGTCAGCAACAAAAGATTTTAGGGGTCTTTTTTTTTGGCTGTTGGTCTCTTCTTTTTTACCCATCTTTAAGATGATTTGTGATCTCCTTGAATTTATTCAGACTTTGTAAATGTTCCTCCGAACCTTTCTCTTGATGCGTTGCATAAAATGGTTGTTGAGAATGGTGGCAACTTCTCCATGAATCTGAATGATTCGGTTACCCATTGTATTGCAGCTGAAAGCAAGGGTCTCTCTCTCTCGCTCACTAGCCTTCTTAAATTGTTACTCTCTTTTTAGCATCATGAGTTATATATTTTATCTGCAATTGATTCTTGGAGATCTCCTATCTGATTTCCATTGTATTTACTGAAGAAATGTTTGTTGCAGGGATCAAATTTCAGGCAGCAAAACAGAGAAAAGATATTATTCATTACTCATGGGTCCTGGATTCTTGTTCACAAAAGAAGCTTCTTCCTCTGCAGCCAAAGTTAGCTGCACGTTTATTTTGTGTCATGCATTTGAAATGGGTGTTTCAAAATGCCTTTAGGTATTTTCTCTATTCAAATTAAGGCTGATATTAAACATTGACTCTTATCTTGAAGGTACTTTCTCTTCCTATCTGATATATCAAAGAGGAAGTTGCAAGAAGAAATTGATGAGTTTTCTGACTCTTACTATTGGGATCTTGAACTTGCAGATATCAAACAAGTAAGCAAACAAATGACACGTGATTCTTTTGCGTGTGTGCACGTGTGTGCACATACAAGTTATTTACAAGTTTAATGTGATGTATGAAACCTCACACAATGATTGAGATTTGCCAATGGGCATTCTCATGAAATTACGAAGTCTTGTTACGGCCATTGCCGAGCTTCCAGTGTTGATAAATTCAGGGTACTTTTCGGAAAGTAAACTTGATATTTGCTATTTTTATCTCTCAGCTTTTAAATAATGTGGAAAGATCAGAAGACCCTCGTCGCGTCAATTATTACAAGAAAAAATTCTGCCCGTCAGAGAAGTGGTCGTGCTTTCACGGATGCTGCATTCACTTCTGTTCTTCAACGAAGGCATTGTAATACATTTAAATTTTAGACTACTGAATAGATTGTTGCACTGACTTGTTCTACTTTTTTCTAAATGTGTTGTCCTAAAATTGCTTCCATTTTTTTTTGTTTGTCAATTATGTTGAAGAAAACCGGAATGGGATCTCTTGTTGAGGCTAATGCAAAGGAGATTGGAACTGGAAGTATTGTGGGGTGGTGGAGAAGTCAGCAATCATCTCGGACATGCTACTCACGTGGTTGTAGTGTCAGAACCTGGAACTTCAGTCGATATTGATGTGATCTTGAGAAGGTAATTCATTACGTGTTGTATGGAAAGCTTTTGAGGTGCTTGGTCAAGTGTCGCTCTAAAGTTTCTGTCATAAAGTTTATGATATTTCAGTGGCTCATCTGTTATAAGAAGCGAGTCTGCATCTGTTTACAAATTAGGTATTCTGAGAGAAATTGCCTTTGAATGTTGGCCTACCATGTGAGCTCATTTTATGTGGTAAATTGACAATCCAACCTCTTCTTTTCTATTTTCGATGGGTGACATCATTATAAAAAGAGTAGAGAGAAGGAATTACTTGCCCATTCCAAGCAAGTGGCATTATTTTGGCTACTTGCTTGGGTAACCGAGGATTCTCATTTTTTTTTCCTTTTTTTCTATGTTATATTTCGTTCGTCATTCCCTTTCTTATCTCCTTTTCTCTGTCTCTTTAGTGTTCGATCGTGTAACCTTGAAATCTATTACTTTTGAGTGGTGCACTAACACTCTGGAAATAAATTATGTACTTTAAAGTCATTTGCATATATGGGATCACCACAATTTTACATATTATGAGATGGTTATTATAATGAGTAAAAAACATATTTGTCCAATCCTTCTTTCTATGCTGAAATATATTAAGAGGTTTTGAAGTAATCTAGAATATGATTTCTTAATTGGAAAAATCTAGTTACGGAAAATTGAATTATGACTGTATAGCTTGTTTAACCGACTCCTGCATAGCATGGGGTTTGAGCTAGTTTATCAAATATGTTGAAGGTCTACTCTATTCAGTAAATTTATTTGTAGTCATTAATAAGCATTACTATTTGTGTGATAGCTTAGGGGGAGCTAGTTGGTTCAAGTTAAGAAGTAGTCTGCCTGTGCGTGTTGAAATGGTTTTAATTCTCCTTGGGGAAGTTGATTAATTATCTCTTTCGCGAGGTTGAATCTCTCTATGTTCCACAGCTTATGTGCACCAGAAAAACATCTTCTAAGCAAGAAGAGATTGCATGTAGTTGATTTCAAATGGTTGGAAGACTGCATGGAAAGAGGTGAGAAATTGCCTGAGGGTCCGTATGACTTGAGAACTACTTGGATAGAAGAATCAGACACTGCTTGGATAGAAGAGTCGGATACGGGAGTTTGGTGAGTTGTATTCATCTCCAGGAAGAGAAATTAAGAGATTTAGATTTTATGAAAAGCTTGCATAATCATCCATGTAGGAGTTCATTTTTTGTTTGAGTAAATAGTTTATGAAGGACTTATAAAAAAAATTGGTGAAGTGATGATGGAGTTAAATTGCTGAATTATTTCTGGTAGCATTGGAAATCTTATGATCATGATTACACGAAATTATTGATGATGTTGGTGACTTGAAAAGATTATGCTAAATTTTTATGGGTCAGATAGTTGTAAAATTCTGATGATAATGACTAGAAGAATCTATGTTTCTTACAGGCAGACTTTTTGCTTTTCAAATTATGTATTTCATTGCCTAAGGGATGCCAGCCCATTTACAATATTAATTTCAGGATGAAGAGCCTGGTAGGTCTAGAATCGAATTTCCAGTAAGATTCCAGCCTTGTGTATTAGAAAATTTTCAATTTTAAAAGCCACCTAACATTTATAAAATGGTTCTCAGACATATTGTAAGTTCTCGTTTCTTTGCTTCAGAATTAGCAGAAAGGTTGTTAGATGGACCATCAGAATCATCCTTGACTTCTCTTTGCTAATGCATATGCCCAAAAAATTGAAGGTGGTTGCTATTTGAAATTAAATTGGTGTTGTAAAAATCTTCTGATTGTAGAGTGGATCATAGAAATGGGTTTATGCCCGTCTTTCACTATCCCCTTGCTCCTTCTGCTCAATGAAGTGGTACGTACTGGTATTAGAACACTGGCAAAGAGTCCATCCTCTAAATAATAGAAGGTAGGACAGGCATCCATCAGCGGTTGGTAAAATGTTTATAGTGTGATCTTTGTCTAGTCTGGCATTCTATTTGAGACCACCACGATTGAAACAAAGATTGCACAGGACCACCTGATTGGTGTTCAGGGGTTGCAAAATGTTTGATTGCTTTAAAATTAAGGCTTCCTTTGTTTCGCGGAAGATAAATGATTTGAAAAATATTTTCCTATAAATGATTGGTTGTATTGCCCAAAATAATTATCAATGAAATTTTTTTAATTATTGACAATAATTTATGTCTAAAAAATTTCGTGGATGATAAGAATATTTTTGTACTTTTATTTTTGTAAGTGACACACGCAATCATTTTTAAGAAAATCTTTTCAAATCATTTTCTGCTAAATAAACACACCTTAAAAGGAGGAAATGAAATTAGAAACTTAAAGTGGTCAATTGGAAGTCTCAATCTTGGTAATTGGTGGGTTTCACTCAGCAGCCTAATCACCACATTGTTCTGCTATAACTTTCATGCTGTGTCACTGGCTGTTGAATGGATGGACCATTACTCTGTTCCTTGAGATGTGGAGGATAGGATCATTGAAAAATGTCACTGTATACATAACAGACAAATTTAACGTTTCGGATACCTTGCTTAGCCTTCCTTTCATGGAGGTAAATGCTTATTTGTGTAACAAAATCAACGAGACGAAGGTTGAAAGGAAATGGTAGGAGAATATAACATTTCAGTGATTCATTACACTTTTTTTTAGGTGTTCAGGAGCAGTACTCTCTCCTAGATCAAATGTTTGAAATGCTTTAGGACCAATGCTCTCCGATTGTGATAACTATTCCAGCTATTGTTAGTTTTGATATTCTGTACTTGTACCTGTCTTTCTTTTCTGGTGGACTAGCTCTTACCAAAGTACTTAGCAGTAAATTTTTTGCTCATTGCAGCTTCACTACTTGTCGTACTGCTTGCATTGACAGTAATCCCACCTCTTGACTGGGGTAGTTATCTGCTACTCTGTGCTTGCTGAATGACCTCTAGTGGCTAACGCAGGGCTGATGATACCTATTCCATTTTTATGTCCAAATGGCCTAGCATATTTGCTTCAGGCTCCCATTTGATATGAAGGATACTTGAGCTAGTGAAATTAGAGCTAGGAGCTTGTCTATTTCTCATTGTACTAGGATTACTTTTCTGACGTCGCAATGATGCATGCGGCTATAGCCATTTGTCTGCCAATCTAATCTGCAAGGAACTGTCAGTGGAATCAAATTTATGCTTCCCTGTTTATTTCTTCAGCAAACATGAGGCTAGTCAAGAGAAGTCGGTTTCCAGCTTGCGCAAAGAGGAGGAACAGTTGTCGTCTTTTGTGGAGGAGGTGGTAGAAGCCAAAGGTAAAGCAGCTTCAGAAGACCAGACTGGTGGCAAAAGAAGAAGAGGAAGACCTGCTACCATCAACAGAAATAGGGGTAAAATTTGTAGCAATCAAGCTGGGAGGAAGCGAGCACGTCTTGGAAAGAAACCTGTAAAAATATCGGGAAATGAATCTGATGAAAGCAGTTCTGCTACTGAAACAGCGCATGCAGATACGAAGAACAAAAAAGACAGTAGAATTCATAAAACTTCGAAGGATGAGATGGCTGAAAGTCCGGACAATGTGAAAGAAGAGATTTCGGAGTCTTTACTAGGAGGCAGGACAGAAAAGTCGGGGAATGTGGATCCACGGGAAGGAACGTCCAGCGATGGTCAGAAAACAGAATTTGGGGAGAAGCATGATGACCAATTCATCGGGAAGATCGAGATTAGGAGTGACCCAGTTGAAGCTATGCTATTGGACATGATCCCAAGCCTTGGAATGAGAAAGGTGGAGATAACCGATCACTCTGTTGAAAGGGAGAAGCTCCCAGTTGAACCCGTCGAGCAGCCTCAGAAGAAAAAGAAAGTAAGCTATAAGGATGTTGCCAGTGAGCTTCTTAAGGATTGGTAGACATCTGTCATTTTTGCAACTGTGTTGTGCTAACTATTGGGAGTTTATGTAACTTAAATGATAGATGAGCTGTCTATACTTTCCAAGGTGGTTATTGTTTAGTGTATATAGTTTGCTTGGGTTTGAAATTTGTGGAAGATTGATAGGTGTTGATTGATTATGTCACTACTTAGCCAGGCATTTGTATCGTGCAATTCGCTGACAGTGAGGTAAAGAGTAATACAATCTCATGGGTCCGCTGTTGAGCCCCAAATAACTCTTCTTGGGGATTTGATGGTCGGCATTTCTGGGCGTAGGAGGATCCTGCTTTGGGCCCAGTTTTGGTGAACATGACTGCGGATTCAGGGATTTTTGTTTTTGTTTTTTGGTCGAAGCGGATTCAGGGGTTTAACAATCCCTTTTATTCTCAGGGGGCCTGTTTTGGGCCTGGGCCTCGGGTTGTATTAGTGAGGTAAGAATTTGGGCCCAATGCTTAGATTTCTTGCTTACTGGGCCCAATGAATGCTTAGCATAGATGGGCCCGTCGGCCCAACACGTATTGTGCCGAGCATGGAATAGGCTTAGTTGAAGTCTATATTCTGGGCCTAGAGCACCAGATTTAGGCACGTATATAGTTGGGCTCCTATTGCCTGGGCCTGAAAAGCATGGACTTCAGCAAATTGAGTCCAATTGACACTGGGCCCAGACTGCCATGCTTGGGCCGAAAATAGCATTGAGCTGGGCCTAGGAGACCATATTTGGGCTTATATTGAGCCTGGGCCTGAAATTCTTGTTATTGGGCCTATGGGCCTATTTGGATTCTTGGCTTAGACGGCTACGTTTGTTGGGCCCAAATTTCCCGGGCCTGAACTTCTTATAATTGGGCCTAGCTGTTTGGGCCCAATTATGGTTGGGCCTAGACATGTCGTAATGAGCCCATATTGCCCGGGCTAAGATTCTTTACTGGGCCTAATTCTGTTTGGGCCCACCTCATTCTGAGCCCATATTTCCTGGGCCTGACTACTTGGGCCCAATATGCGTTCGTGCTGGGTCTGCAATGTTGATATCTGGGCCTCATTTTTGCTTATTGAGCCTACATATTTTGTTTAGGTACAACTCGTATTGGGCTCAATGGCTGGGCTTAAATTCTTTGTTTATTGGCCTTTGATGGACGATTTTTGGTCTAACAAATACTGGGCCCAATGCGGGCTCCATCTAACATTCCCACCTATTGAGCCTAGATGGGCAATATTTGGGCTCTCCTTGAATTGGGACCTGTATGGGCTGGGCCAACACGTTACCTGGGTTTATTAGGCCTAAATCAGTTGGCTTATCCGTAACTTCTTAATTGAGGGCCACGCTAATTGCTGGGCCAGCATTTCGTTTGGGCCAATTGGGCCCTTTCGGTTCTTATGCGATCCTTTCAGGGTTATCTAACCTTATAAAGGACTAGTTTAGGCCTCGGCTTTAAACACAGTTCAGGCCCAACTAGCCCAGTCTTGGCCTGGCCAGAGACTGTCTAGCTCTAATAAAACAAAATCGAGGGAAGCTGTCACCCAAAGCGTCCTACATATTTTCTCATACTTCTAGTCCCCCCCAAAAAAATTCTCAAACTTTTAATGAGATCAATCATACCCCTGAACCTTTTTTTTACTTCCAGTTGATATTTATTCAATCCAAATCATATGCCAAACAGTCAACTTTTTAGCCATTTGGACACACTTGAAATATGGCCACGGGCGCAGAACACAATAATATCCCACGGCAAAGCTACAAGGCCATGGACAAGCACGGCAAGTATGATGAGATTTTACCACTAACGGTAAATTCCAAGAAAGAGGTAAGGCCCCCCCATCAGTCGAAGTCTTCTGCCAAGTTGCCGACCATTTTCACCATCCTCCTGTCTCAGCAACAGCATCCACACAGCAACTCTGATGAACTAAAACACTGCCCAACCACTAATTTTCTTCACATGGAAGCTCATCCTCCACCTGGAGAACAAGAGTAATTACCTGACATATTAAAAAGCACATACAAGATAATAACAGTTGTTCTACACAAATGGCAGTCCACGGAGAGGTGTTCCAGAGCTTTCACTGTTCTCAAGGCATCCTCTCAGAATCACACATACCTTCCTTATTACCATCCGTACTTTGCTTGCGTTTGAGCCTTTGTAAGGAAGCCTTTTGCACGCCGTTCTGCAAGCTCCATCTCCTTCTGCCTCATATCAAAGTACAGAGAACCAATCTGATGCTTCCTCTTATGCAGTTTGGAAGGCTTTCCCTTTGTTGAAGCAGGCTAACAATTTTCCATGCAAAAAGAGGTCAGCATGAAGCAGACATACATATGCTATAAATGAGCTTCAAGATATTCAGCAAAGCATATGAAATTTATATAGACAACTTTTTGAAAACGCAAGTGATGCAATATCTGAAGGGATGTATCGAGAACCAAAAAAAAAAAAAAAAAAAAAAAAAAAAAATAAATATATATATGTGCCCCAAACGGGCCCAAAACCTAAACCTATACGAAATCTCTTAATCTTGCACCATACGGGCCAGCTTAAATAAAACCCTATACGGAACCCCCACAGGGCGCTGCCCCGAACCCGCCGCCGACGGCGGACACCGTGTCGGGCGCGCCCGAACCCCGCATTCCACACGCGGGGTCACATGTCGTCGGATAACACTTCAGTTTCCCTAAGCTCACGTGGGCGTACCCGGTGTGAGAAACAAGGGTCCCCGAAGTATTCGCCAACTCCAACAATATCAATGTAATAAACCATACACCCATTGCCGAAAGTACTCCATATGTATAGGCAGCAACATGGACAATGCAAGTGCTATGTTTGACACAACTTCTAACTCTCTTTTTCTGGTCAGACACAACTTCTAACCCTCTGCAAAGGAGATTGACAATTTTTCGTTTTTCTTCTTCAGAAGATTTTATTGATTATTGCCAGAAAATGAAGAAATCCTTATGTCAGATGCATTGCACCGGGGACTAAATCACTATAAAGCATGGTTTGCATCGGTAGTTGAATTAGTAGTTATGTTCTAGTTTAACAACTCTATATCAGAGTGGACAAAGCACGCAGTTGGACTTTAGACATTGCCAAGCCGCTGAAAATTGAATGATAGACAATGTTTTTTTAGACCGCAAGCATAACAATTGCACGAGCAAAAATGATGCGCTTTGGACAGCAAAGAGAGCCATAGCAGCATACAATTGCGTCTTCTATAAAATTCAGTACATACTACATGAAAATAAATATGCAGTCACAGTCTAAGTGAATATGCCTGATGACAAAAAGCAATACTCAAACAAAGAATTGAAAGCACCCTTAATCATGTAAAGTAAAATTGCCTCGCATTGCACAGCTTATAAATGATGGATGAATAAAAGGACAGAGATAAGGTTGGCCCATGGTTTTTCATACATCTCTAAAAGGCTGAGGACATGGTTCCTGAAAAAATCTTGAAGGGTTTTGGAGGAGAAAGGTATTGTTGCTTACCCAGAAACGACGAAGCATATGAATGATAGAATGGTGACTTCAATTAGGACGCTAGGAGGAACAAAGCATTCCCAATAGCAATACCCTTACATCTATGATTAGTTTCAAATCCTTATATCTTTGCTTGGAAATAAGCGAGCTTACCAAGAATATCCAAAATGATAATCCTCAGCATATTTTTTTAAGATCATACTATGCTAGTGGATAAAATACCTGACAAATAAATGCAAAATATAATCACAAAGAGAAACTTGAGAAGTCAAGCTGTTCAATGACTATAGAGGCCAGTGCAGATTTAGTAAAAGAAAAAGTTCCAATTGGAGACCAACAGTCTCCATAGAGCTGAGGGTTTTCTACTATCCTGCAACCATTACAGAGATCGAACAAGTTTTCTTAGTGCTTGGCGACCAATCACACAATCTCATTTTTTTCCACCCAAACTAAAATCTTCTTCATGTCTCAAAAAACTCCACAGAAACGCTGACACCTAGCCGCTATTTCATCCTAGGTTCACACGACATTAGCCACCTAGCAGCTGCACTTGCCAAATTTTGCTATTTCATAATCTGTCATTTTGTCTTGAATGTAGAGTTTAATTTTATTTTGCAATTTGCTTCCTAGCTGAAAACTAAAAACACCCAGATTGTTTGTTATACTCCATGCTTAAGAATGTTGCTTCTTGAGGCTTCTTCATTTGGCGATGTGATTTGTTCACCTCCTACAAGCACTTACATGTAGGCTCGTATCTCCAGTCCTTCAATGTAATGCAAACTACAGCAATTTCCATGCATCTAAACAGTAGCCTCCTCCCTTCTCCGCACTATAGAAAACAGCATGTTTATATGACGTCATTTTAAATGCATTGTTAAAAGCAAGGATTCTGTGCACACTGTTGTAACTGATAACTTTGGATGTATATGGCATACTTCTCCAGGTGCTCTTTCAAAAGTAGATCTGATATTCTAACTCCAGTGGCAACAGTGGGGTTTCTTGAAAGAACCGCCTTGAAAGTTCCATCTTCCTGTTTACCTCCCTTTTCTTATTCACTTTCCATGCGAACAGTGGCTATATGACTCTAGTGATCAGTAGTTTAGCACTCACAGTCAAAGCTAGTTCGACCAAAACAAGAAACTGGCGTGGTAAACGAGGGGAGGGTTTTAATTTTCTGTCTGAAAAATAACTAAATACTTTTGAAGTAATACCCCAAATTGCTCGAGCGTGTTGATTCTCATGATACAAAATCCTTACCATACCTATCCCAATCAATAGCGACGAAATCCTGTTGAAATTGGAGCTATACTTGAACTAGGTTGGAGAAATCAGATTTTGAGAGCTATCGAACAAGACTATTGAACTGCATGGGATTAAAAGCTTCTCAAGGTAAAAATGCTAATTTGATATATCAAGAAAAAGAAGCATACTATTTTTTTTTGTCATAATCTTTACCAAATAATTATTCTGTATCACTCGACAGAAACCAAATAAAATTTACTACCTGAAATTTAAGTCCCATTAATTCTATAAGATAGATGTATAACTTAATTGACATCTAACTAGGATCCCATCATAAATTTAGATATTGCCTCTTCTGCATGAGATTGACTTTTGATAATCTTTATAGTGGTTTTCAGCGTATACTTACTAAACTCTAATTAAAGGGGAAGATAACTACAAATACATGAGTACCAGAACATTTCGAGTAGATATAAATCCCGTGCATGGCACAAGGCATTCGATTAGTTTTGTAAAAAGAGGAGAGAAGGCAATGTTACCATGGATAAAGAAGAATAGATGAAGTAGAGTAGCGCATATGGTATCCTGTACCACAATAAAATATCACTGAAAATAAAATACTCGATATCTTCCAGCAACAACACTAGCATTGTTAATGTTGCGGAGTTCAATACCGATATGTGAACAACGGTAGAAAATGAGTTCGGCAAATATGAATGCTCTAGTGGATGGCTGGATACTCAAGGAAAGAAATATTTAGAATTTACTGCGTCCCTAAAATAGTCGTCATGGCCACAATTGATGACAAGATGAGAGAATATAATTGCAATGAAACTCCTTTGGGATGGTTTGTCTAGAGGCATCGGTGAGAAGATGTGATGCTACGATGAAGATACAAGATAAAAGGCTCAGGAAGGAGAAAGCTAGAAAGATGTGGCGAATATTTAAAGAAATGTCTTGAGTATTCTATATAGAGAGGATATTAATTCAGGTCAAACAAGATGGAGTACCGAGTTCCATGTAGCAGACCCTGCTCAGGGACATTTATAAGAGTATACTATATGCTACCGAAAACTATAGCAGCAGTGAGTACAAGCAAAATGCCAGGAAGAAAGATAAAATACTCATAGAATTCTTCTAGTCTATAGTACACTAAACATTGGTAATCAAACTCCAACTAGACGGGTAGCAGGCAGCCTCAATGTTCTACTGATACTGAAGTTGATATGTTTCTCTTTTCCAACAAAATAACCCAGTCTCATAATCAAGGGTTATTATTAAACACTTGCACTGACATCCACTAGGCACATAGGCTTCACCATAGTTTCTCACAGCAAATTCGAACCAAGGAAGAGAAACTCAGCCTTCCTCCTTTCTAGAATGCCTAGAACAAGCTGCGCTGCCCATGTAACTACACGAGGTTATTGGATAAGCAAGATGCCTAGTTTGAACTTGAAGCACTGCTATAAATCATACGGCCCCATGGGAACTCCAACAAAAAGTTCAATTAACAGGAGCAATCATAAATGCAATATCGAATGAACTTTCACAGAAAACTGTGATAGTGAGGATGGAAATCATGATTTGGTCTTCATACCTGATAAGCCGGTCCAAAAGCAATCCCAGTCATTTTCACTTGGTCCTCCCTAGGTCGATTCTTCATCAACTCGTCCTGCTTCACCTCCACTATTTCTGCTGGAACCTCATTCCTGCCTCTCTTTCCCGAAACTCTCACTGCACTGTCGCTCATCTCCTGCACCACTCCAGCGGATGCCACAGTCGCATAATCTGAATGATTCGCATAATTACCATACTCCACATGATTACTATAGTTCTCGTATCCTCCGTAGTATGAAATATCACTCCCGCTGGCATTCTGATCATAGCCGCCTTGATGACTTCCATAAACCTCGTGATACTCAGAAGCCTCCCCATTTCGATCAATCCCTGAATCGTAAGTCTCATAAGTGCTATAATTACCGACGTTTTGATTATTACCGCCATTGCTCGATTCCAAGCCAGTAGAACCCACAGCAGGGGCATCGGTCTCAACGACCGATCTCCGGCCAGAACCAGCGGAAGGAAGGGCGCCCAAAGTGGAGGAGTTCCGCGGCGCGGGAATGCTCGAGAGGAAGGACATGACGGAGGAAGCCTGAGCCGCGGATTCAGATTCCCGCTGCCGCTTGCGCTCCTTCTCCTTCTCACCCTCGTCGTCTTCTTCGTCGTCGTCGACTGCGCCAGGGTTCGCGAGCGAAGGGTGGACGGGAGGCCTGAACTGGACGATCCGCTTCGCGCCGGAGTTCGCGCTCGCCGGAGGGAGGCTCGACAGCGATTGCTGTCTTGGCTGAGGGGACGAGAAGAGCCTGGAGGAGGATCCGGAGGCGACCGGGGCGGTAGACTTGGAGCTTCCTTCATCGGAGCAAACGGCTTTGGCGTCGGAGCGAGAAGAAGAAGAAGAGGAAGGAGTTAGGGTTTGCTTGGGCTGGGGGAGAGAGGAGAAGAGAGAAGCGGAGGGAGAACAAGATGACGATTTCGGAGGAGGCAGAGAAGAGAAGGAGGCGGTGGTTGTAGGAGGAGAGGAGCGAGAGGTCGGGTGAGATTGGGGTTCGTCGCGGCGATCTTCTTCGTCTTCGTCGGAAGAAGCGTAGTTAACCATCAACGACTCCATGAGAGGATGAGGACGAGGAGGAGGAAGGAGGAGAGAGAGAGAGAGAGGAGATTTGGAATGGGGAAGAAACTGGGAATTCCACAATGCTTAAGTTATGCAGTAAAGAGCTTCGTTGGGCCTTCGTCGGGCCTACGTTGGGCTTCGTTGGGCCTGCGTTGGGCTTCATTGGGCTTTTGTTGTCAAGCTGACCCGTTGGGACTAGGCCTTTTTATGTGTATTTCACAATTACGTTTTGGTTTTGTACATCATTTCTGACTTCAGAGTCGTAATTCGCATTGTATTTTGGGATAAATACACTAGAAGCCCTAAAACTTATCACGAAAGTGCCTAAAACTTTTAAAATGTACAATCAAGTCATAAAACTTATCACGAAAGTGCAATCGAGTCCTAAAACTTTAAAAAAGTGCAATCAGGTCCTAAAACTTGTCAAATTGATGCAGTTAAGTTCTTCAGTTAATACCATCAATTTATTTAATAAAAAATGTTGTGCTGGCATTTTTAATTTCTTTCTCTCTCCTACTCGGCAATTTTTTTTCTACAAATCTGATTTTCATTGGATTAAAAAATTTAATAAGAAAGTTAAAATTTTATATAAAAAACAAAACTAAAAAAAAAATGGTAGGGTAGGGTAGGACCTCGTTGGTGGGCGTTGCCGCCGCCCATTGCCGGAGGTGCCGGCGGAGATCACTAGCCCGGGGCAAGGCATTGTCGGCGACCCTCATTAGGCCTGGGCAAGGGCGCCCAGATCTAGGCGACGCTGGCCCCCCCTAAGGCCGGCGACCATCGCTTGCCTTGGGCGAGGGCCAGTGACCCTTGCTAGGCCCGACGAGGCTCGCCCAGAACTGGGTCAAGGGCGCCTAGATCTGAGTGACACCAACCTTGTCTAGGGCCAGCGAGCCTCACCTGCCCTGGGTGAGGGCGGCGACACCTCGCCTAGGGCGAGCGATGGTCGTCGGCCCTAGGGGAGGGCCGACGTTGCCTAGATTTGGGGGCCCTTGCCCGAGCCTTGCGAGGGTCGTCGGCTGTCGCCCGACGCTAGCAACGCCTCACCCAGGGTTAGCGAGGACTGGCCAACTCGCCCAGGGCCGGCGACCACCACCGGTGATTGGCGGCGGCGGCAGCGCCCATTGGCGAGGCTCTGCCCTGCCCTGCCTTGCCATTTTCTTCTTTCTTTTCACTTTTGTTTTTTAAATAAAATTTTAGCTTTTTATTAATTTTTTAGTCTATTGAAAATCAGATTTGAAAAAAAAAATAATAATGCCACGTAAGAGAGAAAAAGTAATTAAAAAATGCCACGTCGGCATTTTTTTTTATTAAATAAATTGATTGTGTTAACTGAAGGACTTAATTGCATCGCTTGACAAGTTTTAAGGCTTGATTGTACTTTTTAAGAGTTTTAAGATTTTATTACACTTTCGTGATAAGTTTTAGGACTCAATTGTATTTTCGCGATAAGTTTTAAGACTTTTACTGCACTTATCCCTTGTATTTTATATATAAAACTTACGGCCTTTGAAAATCTTTTATCCTACCTGATTCGTACTAATCATATATGTGCCAATCTCATACTAGCGTTTCGCTCTGTTGTATCGTTTTATCCCATTCTGTAACGAACTACCGATCTTGAATCCAATCCTCGGCAGCTCTCGCTATTGGACGAAATAGTCAACTTTCTCGCTTTCGCTTGCTGCTCTCGAGGTTTCAAGTTCTAGGGACAGAGAACGAATTACTTTCCGACGGACATTACATGCTCCGACGACAATTTCACTCTCAACACTTCTCGACCGGCAACGATTACGTGCTTCGGCAATAATGACCGAGGAGAGCGATGCAAGAAGAGCCACAATAATTGGGTCCCACACCATTCTTAATGCGTTTCTTCTTTTTTTTCTTTTGAGGTTAGCATAAGGATACGAACAAACAAATCTGGTCCTACCATGATCATTGGTCCGATGGTTGGTCATTGGATGACATCACTTTGCCTATACCTGTGGACAGACAAGATAGCACATTGCTTTGTTTTGCTTTGTCACTGTTCTCAAAGCTGATCCAACCAACCGGTCCTCAATTATAGGACAATGCAGATGTGAAAGAAACAATATTCTATTATCAGAGATTTAACACGTAAAAGAGCACAATCATTTGCCTAAAGGGCACAAGAAGAGGACTTTAATTCTCTTTAGATTTGGATGTGCACAGTGTCTTACTGTCCCCGACGGCATACAATGTCGATGTGACGTGTTATTGGAGTAGAGAAGATACATATTTTGAACACAACCTGATGCTCGATTCTGTACTGCGCTGCCACCGAGAACGACATCCCGTTACCAACTTCTGAGGAGCCGGTGACGCTGATGAAATCGAACCCTTCCGAGCGTTTCAGCTCAAAACCGCTAAGTGCCCGCGTCAGGAGGGCTCGGTGCGGAGGTTATTGAGAGCTGCAATGGCGGCTTCAATTTTGGATTGAATGTGTTCCTTGCCCTGCTTCTCTTCCTTCTGCCAAAAATTATACAAGAAAAGATAAGTGGGACGATTGCAATGGCGTGAGCTACGACAAAGGCTCGATCAAACATGAAATGTGAAAGCAATCATAGATTGAGACCGAGCAAAGGGCGGGCATCATATCTACTTTTACAAGTCATCACGTTGCTCTAAACTACTTCATTTCTCATTAAAATGGGAACCCAGCATCATTATCAAGCACATATGACCTGATCATGCATGTCCAATGTGGAGCCACGCTACCTAAGCTGTTACTATCAGCTGATCAATCAGGGTGGGAATATAAAAACAGCAGCAAAATCTCCACAGGATTTTGGCCGTAGCCCCAAGTTTAGCAGGACAAGAACTAGAAGGGTCCCTGTCTTCGTCTAAAACTGAAAGATGATTAAAATATCAGCACAATAATCACATGACGAATAAGATCTTGGACATTAGGTAATTGGCTCTTGCGCACGGCCGTCTGCAGAACGGTGATTCGGGTAGGACTAGTGCTTCGGACAATTGACTGATGGATGGAGAGAATTTGAATGCATCCCCTTGTTTTGTTTCAGAGACTTTTAAAATCACATCATATCTTATAGGACTAAGGGTTGACAGTATACAGATGTAAGTCGAGAGCAAACCATTTTCATGCATTCCTATCAACAAATCTATGTAACTTGCCATTCGCACTAAACGCAGAATGCCCAGATGATACAAGTTCTAAGTTACATGAAAGAAACCAATATCCATTCTAAGGTAGTGTCTCATAGACCACACTGTCATTAATTGATGCCGTGTAGGAGCCCGGATATGGAAAACTGACATAAGTGGAAAGGTTGCATGGCATGATGTTACTGGTAAGTACTTTACTTGTCAAATAATAAATGAAATGGTGGGTGATCCTGCAAAAACTAGCAAACATGCCTAATCCCACTTGTTTAAAGTTGATTGATGGACTGTGCTTGATCAACGTTCAAATGACATAAACGTGTTGTTTAGTGGCAGAACGGCTTTATCTAAGTAATTTAGCAATTTCCAGCTCCATGTACCCCCGACATTCATACCTATTCATGCTACTACCGTTGCACTTATCACGTTCAGTCAAGCAAATTTAATTGACAGAAGATCTTCCACAAGAAATAGATGATTGGAAATGATGGTAAAAACACATCAGATGTTTACAGTTTTATCGTGCCTTACACATTGATGCATCCTCATATACCTTACACTCTACTTGTCGAAATCAATCCTTTAATGCATGCCCATGATCCATCAAAGATGCACCTCCTTTGGATTGAATTGAACACATACCTCTATGAACACCATCTTCGAAAGCTTGTCTGAGAGGGCGGTGATGTTGGCTGCGACTATTTTGAGCTTCAGAGACTCGAACGCTTGACAGAGTTTAACCATCGTGTCTCCCCTGTTGCTACAAGTCAAGCTAACCACCACGCTCTTCTCTCCAACTTCCATCACTCGTAGCTGCAATATTTCCTCATCCATGAGATTGATTTCTTTTCAATATGCGGCTTTTGAATAGTTTTTGGGATCAGTATACACATGGTAATTAATGCTCACAGAGAAAGAGAGAGAGCAAGTTACCTCAAGAACTTCAATCGGAGTGATGTCTGGACTCTTGGAACTATCATGGCGCAGCTTTGTTCTCTTCCTCTTAGATTTCGGATGGACCGGTGATCGTTCTTGCTCAATTTTGAAGCCGGGGTTTTTCTTCAGAATCACAGATTCGAGCTCCACGATCTCGGCTCGGATTTTTCCTTCTTGATCACGCAACTCTTGGATGTAATCAATAGCATCTTTCACTATTGAAGCCTTGTCCATCTAAAATACCATCATCAAGGTACAAACAGCACGGTTCGATTCAAACTTTCAACGTTCAGACAACAGATCCAAAACTACAGTTATCGAAGCTGATCGCGACGCAAACGTATAAATAACTGAGCTACTACGCCGTCATGCCATAATCAGATTGGTACAGGGAGTGAACCTTGCTTATATTGGGCACGAGGGCTCTAAGTGCAAAGAGCCTGTCATTGAGCTTCTTCCTCCTATTCCTTTCCAGGGCAATGCTCTTAGATGCTGCCGGCAACGCCGCCGCGCCCAGCGAACTCGGATCATTGAATCTGGAAATCGCCTCGTGGACGCAGCTGCAGAGTTTGCCGCGAAAGGGAGCAAAAGAAAGCAAAGGAAACAAAAGCAACATCGTGAGAAGAGACACAGGGGAGAGACCGAGCAAAAACAGGGCGTCTAGCGTGAGTGCAATTCTGTACGAGATTGGAGGGACGGAGGGAACAGAGTGGATTACTTGTGAAGCTCTTCCGACTGGAAGAACATGAGAGTTTCCCAGTAATTGTGGAATTCCTCAACAATGGACTCCATGCGCGATCGTGCTCGTTGTTTGTTTTTGGGAAGGAGGGGATGTGATGCTTTCCTTGGAAAAGGGGTGGTTGGAACCTTTCTTCTCCTGTTTCCGGGACCTGTGTGGCTCTTTGATGTAACCCAACAAGAGAAGAATAAGCGTTTTATCTCGGCTTTTTCATTCTTTGTCGTTTTATTGGATTCTTGGAGACTTTTTAAGTCCTCCACTAAACCATCCGTGCTCAAGCTTTGTAGGGCATCCAATCATATGGTTTCTCTTTTTCTTGAATGGAAGACATTATGTACCCAATAGTTGCTCGGCTTTGGAGGGAAAAACTGTAATGCCTATCAACGTGTCGAATCACTGTTCTTTCTTAACGACTATTTTGCGTTTGATTACGACAAATCATTGTAACACGTAGGATTGTTTTGTGTTTTTCATTTTCACGTACGCTTTTGTTATGAATAAGAAGTCGCAAAAAGATCGACTATTTCAAAGCTTGGCAAATTTCCAAACATTGCTTCTTAAACTCGAAAGCTGTGATCTGCGCCCGTTTTGGAGTTATTTGTGACTGTGCATGCGAAATTACAGATGAGACCTCCGCCTATTTACCGGGAGAGGAAGGAAAAAAGAAAAAAAAAATAAAACTCGAAAGCTCAAAAAATTCTCCGGAGGAAATGGATCGCACTCGGCCTCCTCCGGACTGAAGCCACGGCAGCGTCCGTCGCGTAACGCCGTCTTCGACAGTTCGACCTCGTCGGCGAGAGTCGAACACGGCGGCAATGGCGGCCACCGGCGACAGCGAGACGGAAGCGCTGCTTTCGGCCTTCGATCAAATCTATGAAGTAAAGGCTTCTTCTTCTTCTTCTCTGTTTGAGCTTCGGCGTATGGTGAATTCGCCGTAAATTTCAGCTTCGCCTGGCGTTTAGCTTCTCTTTTATCGATGATGATTCAGATTTAGAGTTCGAATCCGTAATGATGAAAGCTCAGTTTAGTTCAGTTTCGTTCGATTTTTCCTGCGCTTGTCTAGTAAGTCCCGACGGGAGGCAATGTCGATCGTTTCTCCCGTAACGTCGTGACTCTTGTTCAGGATTTCGAGAGAGGAGCAGCGGAGATCCAATCGCTGAGGTTGAGCTGTGATGCCGAGGTTCGAAGGCGAGAAGCTCTTGAAATTGCTTGTAACGGCCTAAGACAAGGTTCGTGTCGTCCCGAATCTTGCAGTCTTCAAATGGTTGTAGTGTTCGTTCCTTGATGTGTTCCTATATTAGAAGAACGAAAATAGCCATGGCGATTGTCAAATTTGACAATGCAGATAGCTATGATGATTGGTACTACAGTGACGTTTGCCCGCGAGTTTTCTTTCTTTTGTCCTGTTGTTCCTGAGATGTAGAAGGATTTTGATGCTCAATTACAACGAAGGTAGTGTTGTTGTAGGTAGACTTCAGAATTCTGCCTCAGCACTGAGTATTGGAGCTGACAAGCCCGTGGATTTTCCCGTTTTTCATTCCTTGAATTCTTTGAAAAATTGAGTTCAAGACGGCTTGTAATAATAGGATCCTAGTGGGAACAGATCCAAGGTCTAAACTTTGTTTACCGAATTGACCGATTGCTGCGTCATCTGTGGTGTTGAGGTCGATATTGTCAGTCACAAACATTACTTTTAGTTAAGAAAGTTTCTGCATTCAGTCTGACCTCCAGCTTACACTGAAATCCTTTTGGGATGTTTGGATATGAGACAATGCAGACAATGAGAGGCTGACGAAGCTGTACTCAAGTTGCATGAGCAATTTGGCTGATCAGGTGTCCAATTTCTCAATTTATAAAATCACTAGCAATTCCAGTAACATTATGAGATCTTCATCAGGATGATAGCCACAATGAGGCTTCAAAACTTGTAGTTAGTAAGTAGGCCGGCTTCCTCTGATCGCTTTATTTGAAAAGCAACTTGCAGCTCGAAAGTCGCACTAAATGCCAGAGATTGGAAGAGGAAATGAAGAGGCTGGTTGATGAACACCACCGTAAAGCAAACGTACGTAAGGTTGCTTGTGATTTAACTTTTCTCCGTATTGCAATGGGGACCAACCTATTTTCCATATAAGGCCTGCACTATTCTGTGAGTTCCAAGGAAAAACTATGATCCGTCACGATCTTAACGAACTGGAGTCCATGAGCAGGAGCAAATTGGATGTATAGAATTGCTGCAACAAGATTATACAACTAAGGTTCAAGAGTTAGAGGCCCAAATTAGGTGAGTTTTCTCATGTATTCATCGGCTGCTTCATAAAACTTCATTCTCTACGACCTGAAATGCTATTCCATGCTAGGGGTTTTCAAACTGAGAAAGCATCGCATGAAACAACTAGTAATCACCTCCGCCACGAGTTAACAGCACATAAAATGCATATCCAAGCCCTAGCAAGCAGGTTAGAGCAGCTCCATTTTGACTTGGATTCGAAATGTAAGTTCCTAGGTTTGTGTTAAATTCTGGGAAAACACTAGGACTTTTCACTCGTTCATCATAAGTATTTCATGGTGCAGATCAACTCGAGATTCGGGATTTGAAGGACTGTCTTCTACTTGAGCAGGAGGAGAAGAAAGACTTGATTAAGAAACTTCATAATCTGGAAAAGGAATGTGCGTCAGCGGTTGCTTCACTTCTATTTTTCTTTTCAAGTACAGTAGATCTTTCCCTTTTGCCTGATCTGGACCATCATACATGCCCAATAAGGTTCGTATGAATTAATGCCAGCATGCAAATAACTTACAGTAAGGTGGAGGTTGTTTTGGCTGCTCTAGTTGTATGTGTAGGGTCCCTTTTGTGTATGTGGAAAAAGGGACGCTAGGGAATAACCATCTACTTGTTACATTTTAGGATAATAGATTTGTTGTTTGCTGCAGTGCTTATAACCAGAACAAAGTTTGCTCAAGAGCAACGAGATTCAGCTACAAGTCGGCAGGTGGAAATACTTAAGCAGAAGGTTATGAACTTGAGGAGGGAAAACGAAATTCTGAAAAGGAAGCTCCCTGCTTCAGGAGAGGGGTAGAGTCCGTCTCTGATTGATTGCTGTGGTTCTGCATTTTGGACATAATCATTCGGCCCCCTGTTACCCCTGATTTCGTTGTTAAGTGGATTAGCTGCAACTATAATTGAGGGGATCCTGTCTTACTGTTTTCAAGCGAGCATCTTGACCATATTCTCTTGAGAGGAAATATGTTCCGAAGTTCTGTTTCATTAGATACTCAAGATGACCTAATATACCAAGGGACAGGAGAGTCTTACTCCTGCTTCTGTGTTTGCTTTTGGCAATGACTATGGAACTTGTATATACATTATCCAGATTTCAGGACTAGCTTCGAGCTTGGCATCTGATAAGCGACTCTTAAGTATGGATCGGCCCATCAACTCGTTCCATGATCCGAAACCCTGGTTTCCATTCAATATAATGACTATATTAGGTGGCCTCCACTTGAATTCTCTCCTGCCAAATTTAGGAAAAATTTCAAATAAAGGCATGAAGTGTGATCATTTTGTCAAAGAGGGTCCAAAGTGAACTTTGTCTTGAAATGACCAACACATTGTCAAATAAGGGCCCCGGTTAACACATGCATCTCAAATCCCAATTTTCACCTTATGGTCGGGGGCATGTTTGTCCAAAGTTATTTTTTCTTTCTTTATTTTATATTTCTTTCTTCTTTCTCTATGATTCCTTTCTACTTCCTCCAACAGACTCTCATGTTCAACTTCTTCTTTCTTTTCTCTCCTTTTCTTCTTCCTTAGCACACTGAACGAAACCCCTTCACTTTGAACAGAAACACGAAGCAGAAGCAACAATCAGCTTCAACAACTGCCCTAAGAATTCAGCCCCAATTAGGGACTTAAAAAACAAAAAGCAGGAGAGACCCTACTTGCTATCTTTCTCTTGAAAAGCCACGGAACACGAAGCATCCTTCGGAATAACTGAAGCTTTGAAACTTCTCGATCACAACAACGTCCCTATATTCTTAATTTGTTTAAGAGAAATAATTGGGTAACAGTCTTTGATCTACTGTGAAAAAAAATAGTATATTCTTAACCACAAAAAACAAAATATAAATAATTATAAATTGTTGTAGGATTCACTCTTTTAAGAATTTATGGCCATGTTACTCTCACAGTGGCATTGTTACGCTAGCAAAACCTTTTGTTTAATAATCTCCTTTATTACAACAACAAATTAAGAGTTCATGGACGACATCGTGCATTGAACCAAAACTCAAAAATCATTTGTGTAATTTTCCTTAGCTTATCCCCTTTATTATAGCAACTTGGTATTTCTGGAACGACAATATGTGTTCCCCTGCATTTGACATCCTATTTAACAAGAAAATTAGCAGAACCAATTTATGCATGCCGAGTCATTGACTTAATTACCAAAGAAAGTCTTAAAATTATTGTACATATGTTAATGTAATCCTAAACTTTTAAATTTGGCCAATTTAATCCTAATCCTTTTGGCAATTTACCAATATAGTCATTCTAGCCAATTTTAGTTAGGAAATCACCGACGTTGACGCTAGTCGTCCTACATGGCGACGCTAGCATTGATGTGGACAAATTTTGCAATTTTATATATATTTTTCCTTTTATTTTTCTTTTTTTTTTTATTATTATTGTCCTTCGTTGGTCTACAACCTCGATGCCCTCACCGACTCACAGAGAAAAAAAAAAAGACTGAAATGAAAAGGAAAAAGGAAAAAGAAAAGAAAAGAATAAAAAAATTTGTAAATTTTATTAAAAAATTACAAAAAATCACAAAATTATCCACATTAGTGTCGGCCATGCCACGTAGGATGGACGGCTTCCATGTTAGTTATTTTTGGTCAAAATTGGTCGAAATGATTACATTGAAAAATCATCGAAAAGGTTATGACTAAATTGACCAAATTAAAAAGTTTCAAATTGAATTGGCCGCCGTATCATAGGTTTGTGAGTTTATCGGTAAATCTTCTCCAAATCATCTTGATAAACATCTTAAACCTCCGCAATGGGTGGAGGAATTAAATGGCTGCATAACAAGAAGGCCGGCCCTAAGGATAAAATTCCAACCGTATGTATGCCGGCACTAGGGAAAATTCCAACCATGAAATTCTGAACTTAGTTGCCGTGTCAACAATATAACACAAGGAAACAAAAAAACCCCGTGTTTGGCGGGGAAACCAAGTGTGAGGGACAGCGCACTGGCATCACTGAACGACTTCTGGCCTGATTCTCAAAGCCCAGCCATGGGACAGAATCAGCACAAGCTGTGAAAAACAATTTACAGAGAGAGTAATAGATGCGCACACCCTCACGTTACCTTCTAATTATTGAAGTAACAAACCAAATAGCAAAGTATAAGACTCAGGTCAACGTTGGCGGGAACCTGAGGTCCCTGACATCTAAGAACAACAAAACTGGCGATATATCCAATCATATTCCTGCTTAAGAGTTTCTCTCTCAACTTATCTCTAGCTCAACGACACAGTACAAATTGAGAAGGCAGGAGAGATTTCAGCCAGCTCGAAAAATGGCAAACCTTCAACTGGGAAAATTATTAGCAGTTGCCTTGATCGCTTTGCTTTCTGTTTCTGACGTTGCGTGCAACCATCGCACTTTCTCAAGGAAGCAACTCGAAGCAGACGGGAAAGACGTCGGGGATGATCCGGTGATTAGTGTAAGGAGAGAGAAGGTGAAAGATGCCATGCTTCATGCGTGGACGTCTTATGAGAAGTACGCCTGGGGATTCGATCAGCTTCAGGTCTGGTGGATGAGGATGATGTCTTTAAATGGCTGTTTAAGTCTAGCTTAACATTGGCTCAAAGATTGAAGTTTGCCATCGTGTGTTGTTGCATTGACAGCCCCAGACGATGAATGGGGTCAACAGCTTTGGTGGATTAGGAGTGACCATCGTGGATGCTCTTGACACCTTGTTCATCATGGGACTTGATGAGCAGTTCCAGAGAGCCAGAGAGTAAGTGTCATCCTTCTCTTTTCCTAGACTACAAATAATTGAATGGTCAAAAAAGTTTTAAGAACCAATGAAGCATATATCACTGCATGTAAGATGTTTATATTGATGAAGTGCCAGCAGCAGAGAATCGGATAGACAGAGTCAAATATAATAGAGCCAGCATGTGGCATTGGTGTCTTTTCTAAGTTGGTTCAATGTGATTTGGCAATTTTTTGAAGTGTTATCGGTTTGATCTGTCACTTTTCTTTGATTTGTATACAACAAACACCGAAATCCCTACAGCAACAACTAGAAGAAGCTAAGCCCTATTCCACTAAGTGGAGAAATGCTGCCGAGACTTCCATCACTCACTTAAAAGAAATGTACCTACAACAGTAGATAGCACTAGAGAAGAGAGCAGAAAATGGAGAAGATGCTTTGTCGTTTGCTCCATGAGATGCTCTTTTTATTCGATTTTGTGTTCATTCGGCATTGTTAGCTGTTAATGAAACTTGATGGTGTACGTTGCAGTTGGGTGGCTACCTCCGTGAACTTCAACATAAATTATAATGCCAGCGTCTTTGAGACAACCATAAGGTAGATAAGAAGTCCTCTCTCTCTCTCTCTCTCTCTCTCTCTCTCTCTCTCTCTCTGCATTCATCAACGGAATCGATGCAATTGGAGGAGAGCCCTAGCCCTCACATGAAACCAATGGCGCGCATTCATTTGTTGTTGTCTTTTGGGTAAATTTGCTTGTGCTGATGCAGGATGGTAGGTGGACTTCTGAGTGCATATGATCTTTCTGGGGACAAAGTTTTCCTGGAGAAGGCTACAGATATAGCAGATAGGTTGTTGCCTGCATGGAATACACCTTCTGGAATCAACTATAACAGCATCAACTTGGCTACTGGAGATGCTCATAATTATCCTTCGGCCAATGTAATTCCCAACCTTTCCTCCGCTTCTCGTGAATCATGCTTTACCCTTGAACTTCATCTCTCTCTCTCTCTCTCTCTCTCTCTCTCTCTCTCTCTCTCTCTCTCTCTCTCTCTCTCTCTCTCTCTCTCTCTCTCTCTTGTGCGCGCTGATCCAAGAGAACGTCGTTATATTTCGTGAACATTCTCTGGTGTATGATCTGAAAGGTTAATGGCCACGATTTCTGATTTCCTGGTATGGAGTGGGAGAGGAATTGCAAGTCTGGAAGATGATTAAGCCATGAGATTGATTGAATGAGAAGCAGGATGCCAACTATGACTTGATTATCCCATGATGTTGATACCAAAGGACTAAGGTTTCAATGTGATTACATTCACATTTCGCAGACCCAGCTTGATCTAATAAAATAAGGCTGAGAAAACTGATTCTATATGTACTGCTTGATCAAGCGCCTAGATGCCAGGCCTTTATGTGATCATTCACCATTTGCATCAAGTTTGAAATACGACTAACTATGAGATGCGACAAATAGTGTGTAGTGATACTTCACAGCTGAGTTTTTAAAGATACAATATTTTAGCCCCAGTAGGACATCTGCCTATGCCTGCCATATGTTTTTTTTGCCATGTATCCGTTGCATAAACCTTCGCTTTTGTATTGTCCTATAAAAGGCAATGACATGATTTAGTCTTTGCATCTCTAGGGAAACAGTATATTGGCTGAAGTGGGGACAACGCAGCTTGAGTTTATCGCTCTATCTCAAAGGACAAATGACCCCAAGTACCAGGAGAAGGTTTTAGTTCTGTCAACCTTGTGTCAATTGAAATTGCAGTCAGCAATCAGTTTATAGCTACCTTGAGTGCACTTTATTCTTGTCTAGATATGGTGGCGTCAAAAGACTGGCCACCCCCTTGCACTATCTTGGAGCTATTTATTTACTGCAAAAAGTAGAAGATCTCGAACATATGATGCAAGTGCACTCTTTTCGCGGTTGTTTAGGTGTTCCTTATCCATTTTCCAGGTGGAGAAGGTCATTGAAGTACTTCATAAAAATTTTCCTGCCGATGGCTTGCTTCCCATTTACATTAATCCTCAGACTGGGATGCCATCCCCATCGATCATCACATTTGGTGCCGAGGGTGACAGGTATTAGACAGGCTTGGTGAGGTTTTAATATTTACATGCAGATTGAAGGAAAAAGAGTAAGATCATACACGTCAGTGCTTACTTGAAGTCTATTGGTCGAAACAGTAGCCTGTACGAACTAGAATGGCAGATACCATCAGTCTATTAGTTGCAAATTAAATATTAGAGGCAGAAATTCAAATTGAATGAGCTAGACTGCTGCTTTATAGTCATTGTGCATAAAATCAATCAAACCCATCTACCAGTGTACTTAAATGACAGACGGACTCGTTGAATTTGTGAATATGTTGCTGTAAATT